GGTACTTCTCTTTGGACTTGCGAATGCCCCTACGATATTTCAGCAGACAATGCACCATATATTTGGTGACCAAATCGGCAAACACATCCTAGTTTACTTGGACGATATCCTGGTGTTTAGCCGAACTGCTAAAGAGCATATACGACACCTAAGACAGGTGTTAGAAGTGCTGCGACAGCAAAAGCTATACTGTCGAATGCACAAGTGCCAGTTCAATAAGGAGGAAATCTCCTACCTGGGACATATTGTGTCTCAAGAAGGAATACACCCAGATCCCAAAGGGATCGAGAAGGTGAAGAACTGGCCTGTACCTCAGTGCGTGAAGCACGTACAGCAGTTCCTCGGACTGGCTAACTATTTTCGAAAGTTCATTCAAGGCTATTCGAAAATGGCGACTCCCTTGACAGACTTGACCAAACAGAATGGCAAGTGGGAGTGGACGTCAAAATGTCAATCAACGTTTGAGCATATAAAGGAGTGTTTGACCACAGCTCCCTTGCTCAAGATGCCAGATCCTGAGAGACCATTCGAGGTCATTGCAGATGCCTCGCAAACTGCTGTAGGGGCGGTCTTAATGCAGGACAATCACCCTGTTTGTTATGCGAGTAGGAAGTTCCTCCCAGCGGAGTTGAACTACAGCGTGACGGACCAGGAGGCTTTAGCCTCAGTCCACGCTGTCCAGTTGTGGAGGTGTTACCTTGAAGGAACACACTTCAATCTGGTAACGGACCACTGTCCGTTGACCTACCTTAAGTCACAACCACAGCTGAGCCGGAGACAGGCCAGGTGGTCGGAAATCTTACAATAGTTTGACTTTGACTGGGAATATCGCCCAGGATGAAAGAATGTGGCTGATCCACTCTCTCGTATTCCTCCATCGCCGGATGAACAGGTGGCTAGGAGGAAAAGTCAACCGGCTGTATGTGGCTTAAGAGTAGTGCATAAGCGGGGAAACCAAAGAGAGGCAGGAGAGACGGTAGAGGCCAAAGATCTAGCCTCCAGGATCCGTCAGGCCTATGGCAAAGATCCCCAGCTTACGTCTGTAAGATAGCAGCAAGAGATGCGCTGTACAGACGGGTTATGGCTGCGAGGCAATCAGGTATATATACCTGCCAGTCTGCGGACTGAGATCAGCCAGTTGGCTCATGACCATCCAAGTGCGGGACACTTTGGTCAAGCCAAGACCCTGGACTTGGTCCAGCGGCATTACTGGTGGCTGGGAATGCGACGAGAAGTACAGTTGTACGTCAATACTTGCCTGGTTTGTCAACAGGTTAAGTATCCTCGCCAGAAGACCCCTGGCTTATTAAAGCCATTGGGCATTCCTGGGGAGCCATGGACAGAATTGTCCATGGACTTCATCACTCAACTGCCAAAAACTAAGGGAGGTCATGATGCTATCGTTGTATTCGTCGATAGACTGACCAAAATGGTCCGCCTTGCAGCCACGACCACCGAGCTCTCCGCAGAAGGAGTAGCTGACCTGTTGGTGCAGAATGTGATAAGGCACCACGGCCTCCCCTCTCAGATAGTGTCTGATAGAGACGTTCGGTTCACTTCCAGGTTTTACCGGTACCTGGCTGAGAGGTGGAAGATTCAGCTCAACATGAGCACTGCGTACCATCCACAGACGGATGGCCAGACCGAAGTCATGAATCGGATTCTGGAGGACTACTTACGCAGCTATACGCATTCTGACCATGACGCGTGGGATGAACTATTAGCCATGGCCGAGTTTGCAATGAACAACTCGAAAAATAGTTCTACCCAAGAGACCCCGTTCTATCTGAATTACGGGAGGCACCCAAGGAGTCCCTTAGCTCTTGGTGTGCAAATTCGGAAGCCTTTAAAAGGCTATGACAATCCGAATGCCCGCGGCTTGGCAGTGGCCATTGAAAGGGCACAGCAGCCTTATTTGAGGCAGTCTGGTACACCCCTCGTGGAGGGATTACCAGCAGTGACACGATTTGATCACCGTGTCCAAACAGCACTGAGAGAGGCCAGAGCGTGCTTAGAAAAAGCACGAGATAGGCAGTCGAAGCATGCTGACCGCCATCGGAGGGATGTGTCGTTTAATAAAGGAGATGACGTCCTCCTTTCGACACAACATATTACCCTCAAACACCCTGGAACTCGAAAACTATTACCGAGGTGGATTGGGCCCTTCACCATCCTCGACCGGATAGGTTCGGTCACATATCGACTAGAACTCCCGGAAAGCATGCATAGGATACATCCAGTATTTCATGTATCGAAAATCAAGCCTTACAAGGCAAGTGGCAGAGTACAGCCACCCCCAGTACCTATCGAGATCGAAGGTGAACTGGAGTATGAGGTTGAACGTATCCTTGACAAAAGGGTTAAAAAGCGTGGGAGACGCAAAAACTACGTTGAGTACCTTGTCAAATGGCTGGGATATGGACATGAGCATAACAGCTGGGAATCAGCAAAGTCAGTTGCAAATGCACAGGAATTGGTTCAAGCATTTGAAAATGGTAGAACACCTGTGATGCGAATGCAAACTGCATGAAAGTACGGGATGTACATACTGAGAAATACTCATGTGTGACTATGCTTTGACAGGTTCTCCTGAGATGGGCCCAGAAGAACACTGGGTACACCGCTCCCCGTGCCAAGACGCAATTCGGACACATGAACGCAATGTCCGTTGCGATCTTGAATGGAGAAAGACTAGACATTGATGAACCGCTCGTGCCGGCCTCTCGTGGAGCTGGGCGTGGGCGTGGCCGCGGGCGAGGACGAGGTCCCGCACCAAGTCGATGCACACCGGCATGGGCATTTGGTGGTTCCCATTCTCGGGGTCGTAGACCATAGGCCGGGAGGTCGAACATTCCAGCCATGTGGTTGAGGAAGAGTTTTAATGAGGGTTGTGCAGACCGGGAGGTCATGTAAAAACAACCACTCTTTCTCTTCATCCTTAACTGTGTAGTGTTTCACAACTGAGTATGTGGCAAATCGCACAACCAGTTCTATTCACATACATATAAAGTTTCTACTCCCATCTCCATATATTGGGACGAGGACGCCCCACCTCCCTGAGGGGGACGAATGTTACGCGCACTGGCCTGATGTGGGGGACGCCCTACTACTGGCCCTTGGTGTGGGGGACGCCCTGCCCAAGATCGTATGATGATCCTTGTCCTACAGTAACCATTATACTTATAAGGATATGGGAGTAGGAGGGGTGGTCCCGCCTAGGTCCCCGTAAGGACCTAGGTGCCCGGCGAGGCGGGTCCGTGGCTCAAAGAGGGCAGGAACCCCACACCCACAGACTTTTCGTATCACATAGGTTTTCGGCCAACAGATCATCCGAGACCCCCCCCAACACCCCCCACGGCCCGGAATTTCCCGCCACAGCAGGCGGTACTGAGGGCATTGCCCTGGCCACAAAACAGGATAGCGCGCTATGCCTGTGCATCACTGGCGGATTGCATCCGGCCACACATAGGTTTTCAGCCAATAGATCATCCGAGACCCCCCTTCCCCCACGCGGCCCGGCATTTCCCGCCACTGCAGGCGGTACTAAGGGCATTCCCTTGCCTTGCCCATGCTGCGGCTTGAAGCAGGAGAGCGCGGTATGCCTCACCTGGTGGGTCCATGAACCAAGCGTGGGGCGGCAGGGGTTGGAGACGGCGGATGGCAACAGGAGGGCAACAAAATATGTGTGCAGTCACAGCTAAGGTCCAGGTCCGCTGTATGTGGACCCTGGCTGAGCCACGCTGGCAATCAACTAGATCCCCAGATTCGGAAATCAGTACTTACTGCATGGGCTCTGCTGTAATCCGCTGATTCAGTACACACGTCCGTTGTCATCCGCTAAATTAGCGGATGGGGTACGTGGCTTCCGCTCCGTAAGAGAATATCCGTTAACACCCATGCGGAATCCGCAAAGTCCGCTAATTGGGGCCAGCCGTCCGCTGCCATCCGTACCACGTCAGCAACAGAGAAGCGGGGTCCGCTAAATTAACGGATATTAACGGACGGCAACCCCCGTCCGCTATTAACGGATCCGGGTGGCCACCTCTAGCACAACCTTAGCTTGAGTGTCCTGCCTTCCTTCCAACGAACTTCTCTTGTGCATGACTCAGCAGTGTTGCGCATCGACATCCTTTCAATGACTCATATATCAATAAGTTGACATGAGCTCACTATGCCCAGACGCCCGACGACTCTTGATGACGATTTAAATGTCCCACACACCAGAATCGATATCAGCATCGCTTTCTCCAGTCATACTCAGCTGCTGTTTCTTTTCCTTTTCAACTTTGTACTTGTTACTAATTAGGACCAGTTTCAGTCAGACGCCCTGTCTGTCATCGAGGCACATTATACTATAATGATGGTGATTATATTTAACACAGGACAGACTGTTTGCTGCACCGGCATTTGCTGGTTCGCAGCGGCTGGGGCTCCGGTACTTGTTGTCGCATTTGCCTCCTGCTCTCTATCGCAAAGTGAGATGATGGACGCGTGTGACAGGGCCATCTCTGTGGTGTACTGCGTCTGCGTGCTGGTACCACATGCACAGTGGCTTGTCGAGCCCAACAAAGCACACAAAGCATGGGTTGTACGCTTGAGTCCCGCACTGCCTCCAGATCATGGCCTCCAAGTGTACGGTACCTCCCCAGGGCGACAGCGCCTGCCGGCCACTCGGGGGAATCGAAGAACGGGTCGAGCCCATGCCAGTCAGAGATTTTCTTGCTCAAAACGGGAAGCACACTACAAACTACAAGGAAGAGTGGGTTTTGTGCACCGTCGACCACATCCATGTCCGCTCAGACAAGTGTGCACAGCACGCCTCCAGACAACGCCCTCAGCACCACAAACAGGCTATGCCCACTACCCGGACACTGTTCACACACAACACACACCACACAGACCCACCATTATACCCATCCGCACCCCACCCCACCTCACACCACACACCCACCCACCCACACCTTGCCACCCCTGACAATTGCTGTCACTCGCGCTTGCTGTTACCAGACCAATCCTAGCTCCGGTCCGCATGCCCTCAAAGAATAAGGCATTGAAAACTGGCAACCAGGTGTCCTTGGGTTTCCAGCCCACTTCTCAAAGTCCAAGGTCCCAGTCGCAGATGTGTGCAGGATCAGTTGGCCATCCGGACAATCATCAAGCACCATGGGAGCATGCCCAACGGATGCACCAAGTGCCCATAAACACCCAAGGACACAATCAAATCGACCTTTCCTTTGCCAGGACCGGTTCTTGTCCACCACTTCCCGTGTGTGACTTGCGCACAATGCCTTACCACACACGACCCGGATCCACTGCATACCACTACCTAAATGCCTCTACGCTAATAGTGCAGCACGTCCCCGCTGCCAGAGTGGCTGCAACGAGTGCAATGGAGGCCACCTCAACAGGAGCTCTCCATAGAGGCCTCTCGTCAGCGCCGCCCCAGCAGTGCTGTTCGCTGGGATTGCTCTCAACCACAATTTCCCTAGTCGCCCAGGCCGCCCGCATCGAGGTGCTCCAAGAGCTCTGGTGGCGCCAAGGCCGTGAGCACATTCAACACAGACACCGCCCGAGCACCCCAACCTTAATACTGTCTCGAATCAGTAGAATATCAGTAAGCAAGTGCTGGAGAGTCTAAAGCGCAGGCCATCACAGGCCGAAAGTCAATGAGCTAAGAGAGGATGGCATGTTCAGCTACCGAGGCAGTCCTTTTCAGCAGGGCCGATGTATAGCCGCAGCACGGCAGCCAGGCGCAGGGTGGCCTTGAGGTCGATGTTGCCGCTCAGCTCCACGCAAAACTTGAGCAGCTCGTCGAACTCGAAGTCGGCATCCATGATGGCCCTGCGGTGGTGCATGAGGATGGCGATGCACATGTAGAGGTGGAAGTGCTCGGACAAGTGACGTGACCAAAGCACCTCCCACAGCCTGAGGACCTGTTGGGGCAGCACAGCAATTGTGTCGGATGTGTTGCTCATTTCCATTTGTAACGAGATACTTAAAAGCAGAATTTCTTTACCTTTACCACACAACTAGGCATTGCCCTTACACTTGCCTTCAACGACGTGCCAAACTCTTCACACTATGAAAATGCAATCTCCTGAACAACCATATTTTGACAAGCGAGCTTGGATGCTCAGCGCTGCATCGTGATGTCAGGAACACACTGGCACATCACATTGCTGTACATTTCTTAACAGCAGCTGCAAGTTGACGATGCAGGCAACACTCAAGTGAAAAGAACACAGGCTGTCGACGTATGAAGACATAAGTGTCAACCATCAAGTAGAACGGCTTTGTGACAAACTGCATTGCAGCGGAACACATGCTCACTGTCACCACAGCCAGGTACCTTTCAAGACTGCATGGTCTCAAGCACACAAGCGCAGCTACATAGGTTCAAAGCATCGAACATTAAACACTTGTGTGCTCTGCATCCCCTTTCCCCATTATTGTGACCTGGCGCAAGGCCCACATCTCACTTGAGAGGATAGAAGTGGCACTCGACTCGAAAAATGCGAGAAGCTATTGGAATCAGCAGGAAACCACGAATACACTTTGTGCACTCGATGTGCTCACCTCATCGAAAGAGAACTCCCTCTTGAAGTGGATAAGCAGCCATCGGAAGCAGAAGAAAAAGTTAAGACAGTCTTTCTTCTCCAGGAAGGCATACAGCTGGGGGTCCAGCAGCTGCAGCAGCTTCCGCAACGACACCAGCTGTGCGTGCATTCCTCGTTGGTCTGTGTGGAAATTGCCCTCCAGCCACTCCATCAGACCCACATAACACCTACAAAAGAACAACTTGGCATCAGCAGATGGCTCACATCAAACTTGCATGCAACATTTTGATGCATGGTACTTCGTGTTGTACAAGTGTTGATATGCGATATGCAGACTGCAAGATGTGCAATACCGCTGGATGGTTGACACTTGGGCCAAGGGAGGGCATACTGTTTCTCAAGAACAGGTTACACAACAGCATCGAAAAAGCCCAACGGATCTGGGTTTGCATACATGCTTGGGAAAAAATGCTATCACAGTGCTTCATTGCTAAAAGCATGCATGAAGAAAGGTTTTAGTCACCTTGGATTGATTGTGCTGAACAACAAACTCTCATGTATTGCTTATGCGATTGCTTGGCTATACTGAGAGCCTATCAGAGGCGAGTGGGAACTAAAGGCACCGTGGGAACCAAACAAAAGGAACTGAACAGCATTGGACACTGCCCAATAGGCACAAGGCCAGCGACTTGCCAGCAACTGAAAAATGCGGTCTGACTGCACACCAGGACAAAACAACACATAGTGCCATTTCTGCACATTGTGCGATTCAGAAAAGGAGCACACAATGCATTGTCACTCACCAAAAGGCCTCTGCCTCCACTTCAGTCCATCGCATCTGGTCCTTTGTCTTGACGTCACGACACATGACGTAAACTATGGGAGATGCCAGGTCCGACATGCCCTGGCAGTACCCCAGGTCGAAGTTGAACATGGTGTATGTGAGTAGCACATTGCGCAGCACTTTGAGGCTCCTAGCCTTCTCGCTCTTGAAGAATGGGTGCGCTCGGTCCGTGCGGCACACGTCCTTGTCCACGCGCTTCTTCCTCTCTCTCCATTTGCCAAAGCGCCGCTCCTGTGAAATGTGCCAATCGGAGGGCGATAAGCCTCAGGGACAATCTCACTGAATAGGGCAAAACGGCAGGACACTGATATCTGTCATGTCCTTTGTCCATTTTAAATATAGTCAGAACTTTGTGCTGTCTTACGAGGTTGCTAAAGCTTTGGATGCACAAGTGTGTCAACCTTATTGTGATAAACTTGGCCTAATCGAGAGGCCAAGTTATCGTAGTCTTTAACAGGGAGAAAACAGTGTGCTGGTGCGGATTGAATCACTTATTAGGCAAGTGGTTCAAGAGCAAGTGCTTTTGCTTGGAAACACCTTCAAGCAGCCATGTTGCAGGTTTCCATGTTGTTCTGGAAACAATAGAGTACACAATATGAAAACTGAAGGACCTTAATAATGCTCAAGACAACAAAAATTAAATATCCTGTGCCAGCATGCGTCGTTGTTGTCGTTAGCCAGGTTACAAGTAATACCAATGCTAGAAACTGCAACTGCCCCATCCTGTTCGCAGGCCTGCACACCACAACCCCAAGTACAGAATTGGGTCATGGTTGTCCGCCTGAACATGTATGTGTGCTTGTCAAGCACATTCCAATACCTAATGCAGGGGTCACAAGACTGACACCGATGCTGACCTGTGCTTCGGATATGGATGTCCACTGCTGCTTCAACGTTTTGTACTCCTCCACCTTCCGCTGGGAGAGTTCACAGCGCTCTGTTGCTGTGCTGTCTGGGGGGTAATAATTCAACAAGAACTTCCAGGCCTCCTTCCTGAGTCCTTCACAACCAGAGACCACACAGCCGAATACAATCAGGCGAATGTCACAATTGACATGTCAACTAAACTGAAACATCAGCACCAGTCAGCATAGGCGATGTAGGTGCCCCATAGGTACCCACCGTGGTCCAAGACATGCAAGTCTCTGCAAAAGAGTGGTGTAAATGACCATTGTTGCTCTATCGGCACTACTCTTGCACCAATCAAACGTCACAAAAACGTCCTGAGCTCACACAGGCTATGCTCACCAACGGCAATTACTGGTCCTGTGCTGCTACGGACCAATATGCACACCTGCACAAACTGCAGGTAGCTGCCCAACAATGTTACAGAATGATCAGCACAATTAGCAATACAGATAAACACTGCATGCTGTGCAGCCACGGCATAAATACATTGAACAGTGCAGGTTATCCATTCCAACAAATATACAAAGGCGATATGGCCATATATTGACATAGATGAATACCATTCAGTTCCGGCACACACAACACCGCCAACAGCAAGGGGCACCCCACAGCACACACCTATCTCCACTCCGCCATAGAAGACCTTTTCCCTGAAGCTCAGCATGTCCACAAGCTGGCCCTCACCATCGAACCAGGTGGCCCACTCTGCAAGCGACACTGGTGGACTCCAAGGGCGCTGGCTGCTTGCACTTCTCTCATCCTTCAGCTGCATGTCGATGACCTCGAACATGCCAACAGCCGTGGCAGCTTCATTCGATGTGTCCTTGGGCGCCACACCGGAGTGACTGGTGGCAGCATAAGGAGCGTCTCCATGGGCTGCATTTTCATCCTCTGCAATGGTATATCATACTTTCAGTATGCTCTGACAAATCAGTTTCAGATCCTGAAGGTGCCCATGTTCCCAACAATGTTGGGCAATCGTGCTTGTCCAAGACTGCGGCATTCGCTGGGACACCATCCCTACTGCATAAGATAAGCTTGAACAATCACCTTAGCAAATGACAGTGAAATGCATTAAACTGGCAGGGGAAGGAACAGCCAACAATGGTACACAGCATCTGAAAGGAAAAAGGGGGAGATAGAATTAGAAGTCCCCTGCCATGCCATTCCCCCCCTTTTCGCTTTCAAGATTGAGGAAGTTGGCCATCAGGACATATGTCAAAGGTTTTAAAACTGTTGTGAAGGTGCAACGACAGTGCTCCATCAGTTTTTGCAGAAGCGACCAGGCCCAGACTTGGGGGCACATTTCCTGGGACGCCTTGGTCACCTTCAGGGAAGCTGTGCTGCTGTGGCTGTCTATCGAAGGTTTGGCAGGGCACTTCCAGTGAACGCAGGTGCTCCAAAGACGGCATGCTGGCTGCAACTGGAACAAGGTCGGGGAAACCTGCCAGCACCACACATGTAGGCACAGTCAGGCGTGATGGTGCTGCATGCTGTGTGCTGAGCATGATAGGCACAATATGTGTGATGCAGGTTCTACAATGTGCTGTTGTATGCACACTACCAACTCTGATAGCACTTGCTGATAACCAGAGCACCACCCCTGCCCTACCAATGATAGTGGACAATGGGACCAGGGAGCTCAACCGTATTTAAGGCTATCCTGAACAAGTTCTGCATGACATACTCTACACAACTCTCCATCAGTATATTGAGTCCAATACCACCCCAAACTGCAAAGTGAGCCACTAAGTCTGTTCCAGATCCACACTTCAAGGGTCTACAGAGTGCAATACGTGGATTAACAGAAGCTTTCAGTGACAGCATGTCCTCATCGACAATATTTGTCTCTTTCTATAGAGCGCTCCACTGCTTTTCAAGCTTGATAGCCCAATCAACAGGTATCCACAAGTCACGATTTCATGTGCAAGTCACCTTGACAACAAACACGACGCACATATCTTGGTAACCTAAGCTACCTGTTGGAACGACCAACTTGTGTCTCACTAGGGCCGTACCATTGGTGTCCCCAGCTCCAAAAAAGCTTGACGTTGTGTCCTTCGCGATTTTTGTGATCCTGGAGAACCTTTCAGACAGCTGGAAGGACAGCCCCGTCCAGGTGGCTTCGCTCATGTCCACCTCTGCCCCACCGTTGCCCGGCAGAGTAGACGGGTGGAATGTGGAGGAGGCACCAGGAGGAGGAGCCCCCAGCAGCACGTCTGTGAGGTCCAAGCAATTCAAGCTGCGCTGCAGGGGATCTGCGATGTCATTCACGAGGTATGTGTTCCGATCGGAAGCTGATTTGAAGAGCAACACGTGCTGCAACAGCAGGTGGTCATTCGAAAAAGTCAGTCAAGGTAAGTGGAGTGCATCAGTCAAGGCACACCAGCCCAAGGGTCCATACACAAGTCCTGTTCACAGGTGTAGTCAGCACCATCAATCTGCAACTAAAACACATGGCACACAATGGCCATCTTGGTCCTTGCTACAGGGCGATGATGAGCCAAGTTCATATTTGCAGGTGTCTGCGCACAAAGTTTTTCTTGCATTCCCACTTGCTGTCAACAACCCCCTAACTGCTGTCAAAAATTGCCAAGAAGGAGAAGAGTTCACATGGAATAGAAAGCAGCAAAATGAACACCAGCCGTACAATAAACTACAGAAAAGCAGAAACCAGCATGCAGTTTGAATGATACTAAAACTAACAATCTGCCATCCCCTAGAAGGTGCACAGGTACTGCAATGTCCCAAGAAGAATGTGATGTGCTGCAATATCCCACACGAGTGGCCTGGACACTCACCTCTTTGAGAGCACTTATTAAGCTTCGAACACCACCGTTATTGAAGTACAGGGGCGGCAGTGTGAGGCCCGAGTTCAGGACAATTATCATGGCATGATACCCAATGGTCGGCGTCTGGCGAGTGATGGCCTTTATGTCGGATAGGGGTATTGGGTGCACAGCATACATCGTTCGGTCTGCGCAGAACGAAAACACAAAAGGAGCTGGCATCAGATCTGCAACCCAATCATAAAGTTGTGTGCATGCCAGGATCATAGGCAGCGGCTCCTTATTGTGCGCCATCAAGCAAGGGTGAACAGAGTTCACCACGGGCTGCCCTGTAAAATCTGTGAGAAACACATATGACAAAGTGCACTGCACAATACAAGCAATTAAAGTTGCTTTAGGGTGCTGACCTTTCTCGCGGTCCCCCTGTCCGTTGTCTGACTGGCTGTCCAGCTGGAACGTCCCATCCTCATTGAGCGCTCCCTTGCTGTACGGCAGCCATGCGATGAACAGCACAGAGTGCTGCTTGACTAGGCTCAAACGACCCATTATGCGGCTGCTGACGTCCCGGCTCGGCCACACAGCCACGTCATCCCTCACGTAGATCACCTGAACAGAATATTGGTGCACAATTGTTTAAAAAAATTCGTTTCCAGTGATGCTGCAATGAAGCAAGCACAGTGCGGCAAAATGTCAACATTACAAACACAACTAGAACAATGCAGATGTCTGCAATTTCAGGGAGAAACAACATGGGCGACTTTAAACAAAGGAAACAAAAAAATGGGGTTGAGCTGCTCCAAGCTCCCTTTGGCTAAGAGACCCTTTGGCCTGCTGAGGCAGAGCCACCACAGCCCCTGAGTCAGCTTGCTGGGGTGCCACAAACAGCAACATTCCTGGACACTTCCACACAACTCATCACAGCAAGGCAGCCAGTCTGCTACTCTGCAGCCTTTGGAACACTGTTCCGATGTCACATCTAGGGCCCACAAACACTTGTACGATCGCGTTTTTGTTTCTCACACAGCAAGCTCATCGGTGCTGTATTTTCCTGCATTCCTGACTCAAAACATGACATCATGGTTATTGTCAGGGCAGGGCCCCTAGGCTTTTGACTGAGTTGCGATACTTTTGAACAAAGAAAAGATGGCAAACACACCACAAAATGGCCATACTCAGTGCCCCTTACGTCTGTCGTTCCAGGCTCCCCCAGCTCCAAAAAAGTCTCTGATTCATATACACCATCGTCAGTCCCATCTGTCCCATCAGTATCCCCCCGCTCATCTGAGCTCTGCCTCTCTGGCTGGGGCGCAGGCTGTTCTTCATTGCAGGACTCTGACTGTCCACTATCGGCCTCGCCATCCCCAGTGGCCTGCCAAGCCGCCTCCTGGGAGTCTTGCAGGGGGTGGCAGGATATGATGCCACGGTCGACGGTGCAGTCCATGAAGCTATCAGACCTAATGACACACCATGATAGTAAGGAAGCAGGTTCACAGACCACCTCTGTCCAAACTACGATGTTAACAAAGATCTGGCAAGGCACACGTCTGACTCTTGCCAGTCATCACAGTTGCACATGCAGGCTTTTTGTGACACATGCCTCCAAAGCCAATTGCCTTCCAGCCCTCAAAGGTTTTGTGAGGACTGGCTGATGAACATCGCCATTGGTTGCCCACACAGCGCCTGATAAGTTGAGAATTTTGTGACTTGCTATGTCAGCCATCCCTGCCAATGTTCAAGAACGTCTCAAAAGCGGGGCCTCCAGCAAAGGTCAAGTGTGTGCGGCAGTGCTGCACCCTCTTGGAGGGTGAGGAAGCTGTTCACTAAACGGCGGAGTGGCATTTCAGTGCCACTGTGCGACCATTAGCCAAGAGATCTCTTGCAGTAACCCTGAACGGAGGCGAGGTGGAGGAGCAAGGAAAAGCAGAGATAGTCGTAGTGGCAGGTGCATGGAGAGAATTGCATCCAATTCATTGTGGAACCCAGTCTCAACGGAAACAGAAACAACCATGCATACATCGACGTTCGCCTTTCGCCTCTCAACTCTGCTTGAGTGGGGTGACCGCCCACTGGTGGGCACTGGCACATGGACATGGGCGCTGGAGGTCATCTCGACGAGGGTTGACCAACAGTTGCCCGCGGCCCCTCGATGAACGCGCAAAGCGCACACACGCGCGCACCTGGGCGTGGTGCAGGTGTCCTTGCACTGGTCGTAGCTGTCCTCCCTCTGCAGCTGCCCAGGCGGACCGAAGCGCTCGTCCTCCTCCTCCACAAACAGCACGCCGCCGTCCTGGCCCTCCTCCGTGCGATACACGGGCCCGGAGCACCACAACCCGGCGGCCGCCTGCGCCAGCGGCCAACCCATCGACAAATTTTACTCATCAACAATGTTTACAAAGAGCGACAAAGATCGGCCCCAGCGCTCGCGGGCGGGAATCCTGGGGGAAGGTAGCAACGTTGGCCACCGCTGCGCCACGCCGTGGACTGCGGAGCGCAAAAGGATTGGCTCTGCAATCAAGGTCGTCCCGGCACAGGACGCCTGACGCAGGATTCGGCCCCGCGCGCAAATTCATGCGGGGAAGCGCAAAGGCCCCACGAGCCCCGTCGCCGTCGCGAGGATTCCCGCGAACAGGAGCACCACCGCGCCGAGGATCGCCGCGGACAGATGGCTGCGCAGGGACGAAGGGGGCGTTGTCCGGAGCCCACTGGACGGCATGCGGCGCCACAGCGTCTCGCTTTCCCGCCGCACAGCGGCTGGGCAGTCCTGGCGGCCCTGGGCGCAAGCAGTGGCGACGAAGCGCTGGTCCCGACGCCACTTCCACGGACAAGCCCCCCAGCCGAGGCGCCCCTGCAGCGGGAACGCGCCGTTCGGCGCGCACACCCCCCCGCGCAACAGTGCGGTCGAGCACCGGCAATCTTCGGTGACAGGGGCGGGCTGATCAATTCCGTGCCCGGCCTCGGCCAGCGTCGCGACCTCCCGCCGCTCCCCAGCAAGGACGAATCAACCCGCGGGCGGCGCACGGGCGGGCAAGGCGAGCCGCGCGGCCCGCCCCGCCCCATCCCGCGAAATCCCCTCAAGGGACCCCGCGCCCGCGCCGCGCCACTGCCGGCGGATCTCCGGCTGGACATTCCTCCCCTGCGCGAGATCCGGAAACGAAGAACGGCCCCAGGCCCAGGGACACCGCCCCCAAGCGTCGCGATCGCCCCCCTTGGCTACCCGCCGGCCACCTGGCCGCCTCACCTGGCCGCCGCCGCAGCACAGAACGGGTCCGCCGCCAGCGCCGCCGCCCTGGCCAAGCCCCGCGCGGGGCGCCACGCAGTCGCCGCCGGACGCCGACGCAGCGCAGGCGGCGCAGCTGGACAGCCCTGCGGCCCACACACACACAATCCCCAGCTCAGACCACGAACTGCCAAACCCCCGCATCACCAGCCCCATCCCAAACCCCAGAGTGGACAACTAGCTCGCGGCCGCCCCGGCCCGCGACAGCGAATCTCCACTGCACCCCCCGCCCCACCCCCCACCCACCCCCCTCGGAGCCCCACCCCGCCTCCTCGACACCCCGCTCTCCACCCCTGGAATGAAATGCCCCCCTACCCCGTCCCCCCCCACCCCCCGCCCGCTTCTCCGAAAGCGCCGCTCCGGATGGCGCCCGGCCTCACCTATGGTGGCCGGCCGCGGGTGGCACCACTGGGTTGACATCGGCCGGCCGGGCCCGCGCAAGCTGCCGCCTTGCCGCGGGACCGCCTCACCCGCCTCCACGCCCCGCTCTCTCCGTGGGCGCTGCGGTTGTCTGCAGGCGCGCTCCGCGACTGAGCAGCCCGTGTCTCTGCGTCCCGCGCTGGGATGCCCCTCAATGTCGCACCAGCCAGCCATCATGCTAGTGTCTAGGGTGGAGGGCGGCCCGGAACCCGGGCCGCGGGGCGACGGGGAAGCTGCCCCGTGGAAGGCCACATCGCCCCCCAAAGCCGTAAAGTACTGAGAAGCGCTGAGGCGTTGAAGTACTGGGGTCGCAAGCACTGGAGTGAAGTGGACTTGGCAGCCGGCGTCTCAATGTTGTGCATGTTCGAGGGGACCGAAATTGTGGAAAAGCCAAATGGTGATGATCCGGGGAGTACGAGAGGCGCACGAGGGAAGCGGACCTGAAGCGCCGCAGCAAGGGGGTGGAAGCGGGAAATTGTGGGGAAGCAGGTGCGCGGTGACGTGGGTGAAGGCGGGTAGAAGCTGGCAGTTGGCGGAGGTGCATGGGGGCCTGAGGGGACGGGGTCGCAAACTGGCATCGAGTCGGAAGCACAATTTACAGCTGGCCTCAAACTCGACACAGTGACAGACAAAGGACAAGGACAAGGACAAGGACTGTCTGAAGCCACGATGCTGCACCAGCTGGCAGCTGCCCTCAGATTGTGCTGCAGCTGTGCTGGAGCTCCATTGCAGCCAATTTGGAGGCACTCAACGCATCAGCATCAAGAGAAATGCCACTCCAGGTCACCGACTGCCTCTTGGCGCAGCTGGCTGGTGCTTGGACCCACGATTACACTGGGAATGGCGAAGTGGAGGAAGACCTGGGATGGCCATCGCATCTCACTGGCAATGTGCACTCCAACCGAAACGGGGAGATGGCAGTTGCTTCATCACCAGAACTGCTTCGTTCTGTGGATTACACGTTGTCAACAACAAATGAAAATCTCAAGCCCTTGCCCGATCACAAGCGGTGATGGGCGCAGCAGCATCCGACAATGTTCGCCCGTGCCTTGCAAGCCTGGTTCCGCTCAACCTTGCAGCAGGACTGTTCGACTGATTGGAATTGTTGCACTGCGCTAGGGTCTCCCAACAGCGTTGCAAGGCACACCGCAGACGGAGTTTCTTGGGGTATAGCCACCCATCATCGACCTGCATGTGGCGGGCACTGCCTTGCACTGGGCGGTCAAGTACAATCCAAGCAGACCTCAGCACCTGAGCCAGAATTTTTCTTGCCCTCCGTCCTTAACCTACAAGTCACTTTGGCATTCCATGTCTTTGTAGGACAGCTGCAAGTACAGAGGAAGGCACTTGCAAGAGCCACCTGAGTTGCAGCAAGCCTTTAGCGCCTCATGACAGCCAGGGAGAGGTATAGGTTTCAATTGAGGGCCACACAGCCATTCTGTCTCACTTGCAGATCTGCATGCCACCGATCCGCCTAAGAGACGTGCAGGTGAATCTCTCAGCTAAAAGGGGGCCAAGTAGTGCCTTTGTCTGAGAGTTGGAGGCGTAAATGGCATCAAAGAGGTGTGCTGGGGGATCGCAGACCATGTGGGAACCAATTGAAGAACACAGGTCCCACCAGCCCAGACCACAGGTCCCAACCCAGGGTCCATATCATCAGTGCCTCGCACAACACATTGGCTCCTAAGTTGGCTTGCAAATGAACTCCAATAGTCACGATCCAGCGCAACAATACTTCAAAATCATGTTTAGTATAGCAAAAATCATGTTTGCGAGTGTGGATTGCCATTCTGCCGATCCTCACTGTCCATATCATGCCTTACCAGCATCAGTTGTGCTGGCAAACTATACCAGAACAAATGCATGAATATGGCAGCAAATTGCTTTCACAAACAGATGAGCATGCGAATCAACAGAGTAGCTATCCCCAGAATCTCACATCAACAACACAAGCACTAGTCAGATCAAAGCAAGCAGGCAGCAAAACCTCGCTTGAGCAAAAGAATTCTGCAGAAACACATCCACATTGTTTGACTGTGCAGAAATGCAGCAACAGATTTGAGTTTGAAGCACCTGAAGGGCAACAGAAGGAAGAGCAAAGTGCACACCTGCTCTTGTTTTTCTCCACTGCAAAGCCTCCAAACAAGTCTCCAAGTTCCACACATTCCGTCCCTGAATTGTAGTCTGTGACAGCCTCATCAGGGTCTGTTTGTATATCCAGTGCAGTAAGGCTTTAGTGTTGCAGGGCCCCAATATTATACGACTTTGCCTTGGCGGTGATGCAGACATGGTTGCAATCACACTCCCTCAATTGGTGCTCCATCAAGGACCCCCAATCCGATGCAGCAAACTGGATAATTCTGAGTAGCAGACACGACTGTCATCACTATGGCTCGCACTCAATACAACTGACAGTTTCAGCGTCGTTTACTTCAATTCAGATTGTCCACAGGCAGTGGCAAACAATCAAACACCCAGACAGCTAAAACAAATATTGAGGCAAATGTGCCAATGTTTGTGCAGATAAACTGTGGCGCACAATCAACAACTCCCGAATTGCTGCCTCAATGAGCGCTTCAAAGTTAACCAAGTGCCAATGCACACGTGCTGAAGGGGCCAAGTCACTCCTGACACTGTATCCGCTACTTGGAGCATGCAAAGCATTAGTCACTATTGGGCTGTGCTGTACTGAGGCTGTATTTTGTGGTGGCTACACATAATTCGCTGAGGCAGTCTTCAAATTTCAACACAGCAATGATTTCCAACAGCAGCAAACCACAACCGCTGTTCACTGTTCAGTCCTGAAGAAGACAACAAGTGCTAACCTTTCCTTGCTGCAGAGTCAGGAGTGGAGAGGTCTTCCTTCCAGCTGCATTCACACTTCTGATGTCACACTTCCTTTAAAGGTGTATGGCCTTCTGAAGACATCGAGCGGGCACTGCCAACTGCAACATCGAAGAGCCCCATCAACGCCTCAAGACTTGGAAGTGCGTGCAACAAAAGGACAGACAGAACAGGACAAGATGCAGCAGGACACAAACAGACAACGCCACAATATGCACTAAACTCACGTGTCGTTAGTACTGAACGCCAGAGCTGGAGTTCAGAGATCTGGAACGAAAATTTACAGGCTGACAATCTGAGCTATGAGAGTGACCAACAGACGCCACATCTGCGACTGCAAATGTGGACGTCATCACTGCCTGTCATCGCCTGCAGGTCAAAGGCCACTGCTGCTCAACACCTAAAAATTTGTGGTGCAACTCACACTGGTCCTGCACCATTGTGAACATTGCCAGTGGCGTCATTCTGCAATGAACAACAGAGCTTTCTTGTTCGAAGCAAGAAACAAGGAGTGTGCTGATCTGCTGCACGTGTGATCCTCAAGGGCAACCACATGCAAGAACTTGTCAAACTAGCACTGTCCAACAATACATTGTCAATGTTGTATTCATTAACAGTGTAGTGCTGATGCTGAAACTGTAGAACTCTTGTTGTTCGGATAAAGGTCTGCAGCTGACACACCTGACTGCCTTGAGACAATTATTTCAGCGAAAGAATGTAATAAGAATAAATGCCGTACGGGCCTGCAGGCTGCCATCCACCAGTGCTCAGCATTCTCAACTGGTGAACAAATGCTACCAAAAAAATTTGTCGAAAATTTTGTGGCTGTGAAGATAGGCAACTGTGCAGTGCTATGTCATACATCGAATCTGGAACGGATATTGCTCTTATACAAGTACAATTGGCACATGCATCCTCCATTCTAAGACAAGTGTCCCCCACATTGGAAACGTTATATTACCGCACACTGAAAGATGTGCATTCCTACATACACAGTACAGTAGCAGTCCCTATATAGCCCCCCTTGACATGGCCCAAAAAGCTGATTGGGGCCCGGGGGCGCTGTTGTGTCAAGGGGATACCCTGAGCAACCGGTGTAAAGGTTCCCCTGGCCGCCAGTGTAGGGAGTACCCTAAACTGCCGGTGTAGGGGGTATTATGGCCGCCGGTGTACGGGGTATCATAGCCGCCGGTGTAGGGGGTACCCTGGCTGCCGGTATAGGGTTTACCCTGGCCGCCGGTAGGGGGTACGGTAACTGCCTGTGTACAGGGTACCTTGACCGCCAGTGTGGAGGGTACGCTACACCCAGCCCACTGGGTCCATACCGGCTTTTGGGGCCAGCGACTGTCGCGGCGCCGAAGTCGCGGGCGCTGGGGCCTGCCGCAGTGAAACAAAGCACTACGGGAACGGTGACGAGCCGTAAAGGGAGTCGCTAAACTTAGACAGGTCGCTAACTAGGGGTCGCTAAACCGGACCCCTGTACTAGTTTGAGGTCGCACTGCGCAACAAAGCTGCATAAAGTGCTACATAAATGGTGGCATGCCAAAAAAGGGGGCGCTATTGGGGGCTGGGGGGCTATTTGGGGGGCACTATATAGGGACCCCTACTGTATTCTGAAAGACACGATGCTCAAAACCCCAAATCCAGCATGAAACCAGAACAAAATACACTGCTCCAGTGCCTTTTGTGCACCTGCCAAAATCTGGATAATGCCAGCTCGAAAATCCCAGTCGTGTCATTCGTCCACTGGTGCACAACACTTAAGTGCACCCTTTGTCCTCTGCTGGACAACACGAATGCTTAATATCATCCTGCGCTACTGTCAGGTTCACAATGTGGAAGGGTGGGCGCCAGGCGTCCTCCAAAACTCATGTGTAGTGTTCTGGCTTGGCGGGCGGGCGCTGGGTCTGCCCCCTCCTGCCCTCCTTCGACCATCGTCTCATTCCCCATGTGCCTTTGAGACATGAGCCCTTTCCGACGCGATCATGGCCATAGAGGCGACAGATGGCATCTACAGCTTGGTGGCCAGCCCAACCTTGGTACATGCCACCTCCATTTTGCCAGTATCCAAAATCTCAAGGGGAGTTCTGTGCTGCCCATGTGCAACAACGTGTGCATTTTGCGTGTTGTCACCCTCCGCGCTTTCGGAGAATGCATTCCTGACAGTCGATTCTTTCGAAGTGATGCACCAAACTGCCCATGAGTTCATAGATTGTGCCCAGGACCCTGGCTGTTTCATTTGGTTGGCAGAATAGCAGGTTTTACGGATTGCCAGATTGAAAAAGAATACCCACCCGTGTTGGGAATGGGATTAACGGATTGTGGTACACTTGTGCTGCAGCTCATTGAAGGCTTTTGCACACCTACTGGCATTGCTTGCTGGATGCTGTCGTGGGTGCTAAGACCTACCGGCATGCCTACATATTCTTGAGCTCATTTCTTCTGAGCCCTGGGCTGTGTTCCTGGCGAATTACCTTTGTCATTCATATGCATCATATGCACACGGGATATCACCTATCAAAAATTAAGGATGCTGTTTCGCCCCACTGTGCCTCATTAATGTGAGGCTCCAGCCTTCAAATGGAGCAGTGGTGGTCTTCTGAACTGCGACCCTGATACATTGTCTTCAAGAGAGGCCGATTTCAGGCATTTGGGGAAGCCATGAAATCTGTCTTTTTCTGCGCTGCAGTTGTGTGGAGATAAATTCCTTCCCAAAGCGCAGAGTTCAGATCGTACAGATTTGAAATCTGATCCAAGTTGCCAAACACTGGCATGTGAAGAGCAGCCACAAAACCGGCTGCAACGCCAGTGTGCAATCTCACCATTGCTACAGCGGCAGTGGTGTGAAGACACTGGGGACACAACTTATTGGATGGGGAGTAAACTACTTGATGGCAGATGGATCCAGCACAGAATTTTCATGCAGCCAGCCCTGGCTTCAGACTTCGTGCAGCTAGCCCACCTCTGTCTTTTGTTTCAATCCATGCCTTTCGCTCTCCATCGAATCCATCAATCAGAGCAGCCTTGCCATCTGCTGTTGTTCTCTCCTCAGGGATCGCTGTCTTTGTCAGGAAAAAGACACCAATGAAGACGATCTACACCATCCCACCAGTATAAAAGTCAAAAGATATGGAAGGAGATAAAAATAGAGATAGTTGTGCAGAAACCCGAACAGCTGCATATTTATTGTTCATGTGCAGGCACCTGGAGAAACAAATTCCAGCTGACAATTTGAAGAATCCCTTTGTTGCTCTTTGTTGGCAAGGGGAGTTCCAACGCTGGGAACAAACACATGTAAATATGGACACTGCCTGCCTTCGACAGTAGGTGCAGAGGCACGTCCATTTTGTCCTGACAGAAAGTCATCAATGCACCCTTCCACAATTCGCCATGGGGCTTCTGGGCATTCATGTCCCATATGGACCACCTGTAATGCGAATGCAGAGAATGACTTTGCACGACTTTCAGATGCAGTTGGGCGATGCAAAGACATGCAGTTGGGCCAGTTTCGACATTAACACGCTCATCCACCTCCAACGTGGTCAATAGCATGTTCGGGGGACTTGACAGCAAAGAGGGTGCTTACCACAAGAGCCACACCAAACATGAACCCCTTCGTGTAGGTGAACATCCTGTACTCTTCAAAATAGAGCAGACCAGATATGATGGAGAACATGGTCCAACTGATCTGCATGGTGGGCACGATGACGAGGGCAGGGAACATCTTCAGGGCCTACCCACAACACAAGGAGGAAAAGACATGCCCAATTCTCAATTCACTCAAGGGCGCGTTTTGGGGCAAAGTGGTCAATACGACTGGTCACATGGAGATAGGATATGGTGGACTTGAAGCAAAACTTCACTGGGACTCAAGAGATGAGAGACTATCTTGGTTCTTGCAGTATCCCACAGCTATCAGTACACTACCTCAGCACACAGCATTTCGAGTGTGAAATTTGCAATTTCAAGCATATTTGGGATGCAAACAGAGTCTCGTTTTCCCTGCTCATGCAGCTGGTCAGTAGTAATGGCTGTTTGGTAGTGATTAAGGAACCAGACAATTGTGGCAACAGATGCTTATGGAGATGAAGGTCTCTGTTGCCAGCAACAGAGTATATCAGCCAGCACTTTGCCAATTATGGACCAATATGGATGGATATCCCATTGGGCATGCAGGGAATGAGCAAGGCTCACCTTGTTTAGCCTTGACACCCAAAAGGTTGCAGTGCAGATGAAAACCAAGGCCACCAGCCAAGTGAACCATGAGGTAAGCTGCATGACAAGGGGGAGGGGGCAAGAAATAGTTAGATCATGCAGAACTATTGGTGCTGGAGAGGTTTTCAAAGATCTTAAACCCTCCTCAACAGTCATGCATCAACTGCACGTCAGCCATGTGCATGCTTGCAACAAACCAAACCCAGTGACTGCCCTGACCCTGCTCCCCACCCTCCCCTCACCTGGTTGTTCCCGCCCAGTGTTGTCCTCAGGAGGGTGGACAGCGTTTTGCTGAAGAGGACACTCTGTGTTCCCAGCAAGCCACTGAACAGTGCGTAGCTCACAGGTAGTGTCCTGTTCCAATGGGGGCTTGGACTGGTAGCCCCCGGGCTATTGTCACATACAACATCGCAATCCTTACCAAATGAATTCTTACATCCAATAAAGCAACTGCATGCGATGTAATGCAACGAAAAAATCAACAGCACAGAGAAGACAAGGTAGGTATACAACTTATTCTTCCAAGTTGTGCAGCTCATGATGCATTTCTCCAAGCTGTGAGTAGCGACTTGATTGTCGCCATGTGGGCTTGAATTCAACGTCTCAGTGTGTACACAAGTGACTGTGCAAGTACTCTCAGTGCATCAGAGGAGCTTGCCCCCAAGAATGACGCTGGATCTCACTCTGCATCGTCATTTAGGTGCCCATGGCCATTCCATCTGTTTGGACAAATATCTTCGAAGGACTTTTCAACACTCACGGCAGTCAATGACAAACGGTATTTGATCAAAAAACAACGCTGGCATCTTCAATCTCTTTGTTGAAATCAACTGGTTTAACCTCCCAGGCGGTTCTCACCTCAACGTGCTCTTGCCGAATCTGTAGATTGCATACATAAGAAACACAGTAGCAGCCATGAAGATCAGGTATGAGACGTAAACTGGCCTGCACCGCAGCAACGAATAGATTTAGATCACCTGCTGCAGCGTGCCAACCAGAAGTTACAAGCCACCCATCAGCAGGCATCTGGGCATTTGTCCACAACAAGAATTCCAGACATACGCTTCCTAGGATTGTCCTTCCGGTGGACAGAACACATACACGGAACAGAACAGAACAGAACAGAACAGACATTCATCCTGGGCACCATTGCTTGTGCAATTTTGTTCCTGCTGTGGAAAGTTGCTGCAGATCTCTCAATGGACAGCAAACGACACAAGTAGTGTAGGACATTCGCAAGTTAGGTGAATTGCCAATTTGGAAAAGGAAAGACGATTGTGTAAGTGTTACACACGTGTAGCGGAGTACAATCAGGCCCAAAGGCTATATCTGGAGCCACTGAAAAGCATCATCAGCTGGGTCTGACTCAAGCTACACTGGACCCACAAATACGATGGGAAATATATAGCTTGTAACAATGTCTTTGGTTGGTCTCTTCCCTGTGCCCAGAGTGCAATACAATGACGAGAAAGATGTATGTTGAGCTTCGTTGCAATCAGCAACACGATGCAACAGAGCAACATGAACAGCAACATACTATTTGTCCAAGGAGGAAGGAAGAGGGGGGAGGGGCCGGTGCATATGTTGCTGATAAAGGCACTTGAACATCAGGTACAACTGTTTGCACAAAGGAGCAATGCTTTCCTCAGCATGCTGACAAACATACTGATAAATAGTATTATGTGAGTGTAAAAGATGGCATACATACACAGGCAACATGGGACCAATCAGACGTGGGCTGCCAAAGGCAGCAGTGCAGGAGGCAGTTAGAAATCGCAAATATGGGCAAAATTGCACTCAATTCATGAGAACATATCATGTGGCAGAGTTCCAGCACATGATGACCAACATCAGCATATTTTCCTGGAAAACACCGAATCACAATAAATAAAGGTACGTCGGGTACGATGTGCATTATGCATAGGACAATATGTAGACCTGAAATATCAAGACAGTACCAGGCAACTTACCTGTCATGCTGATGCCACTGCTGCTCACTTGAATACATGCACTACAAGCAGAGTTATCAATGCTGTAAGGAGATCACCTGGCTGAGTACTTTGAGCCAAGTTTCAGGGCACACAAGACAACAGGACACAAAACATGCTTGTTGCACTCCACATTTCAGATGCAGCTTCAGCAATTGGCCTGCAGCTTCCAGTTATTCACTTCCAGGAAATATTGAATGGCCTGACATACCGTGTGTACAGCTCCATGAGCTCCTGCACTGAGAACTGCTTCGATTCATGACTTCCAAAGGAGACCAACAGCACACAGCCCAGCACAATGCACCCAGTAGCCACAAGAATTGTGGGTGTCACCTGTCAGCCAGTCCAAAACTCTTAGTCAAGCTGCCCATTAAGTTCAAGATTCGATGGTAAACGAGAATAAAATATGTCGATTAGTAAACGAGAACAGAATATGTATCCAATTTAACATCTCTAGTGGCTCCATTACACTCAAATTCAATACCAATATCAACCCAGGAGATCATCAACACTCATGTACACCAGGCAGGGTGAAACCTGCTGCCAGGTGGAAACTGTATGGACAAGACAAATCCCAGCTACAACGGGCGCCCGCCACTCTAGTTTCCAGTTCCTTGAACACTTTGTGACCATGAGCCAGCCTTGACACTGGAACTTGGAACACACGACAAGACAAACTGAGAACACGACACTCCAGTTGTGAGTCTGGGGCTTGCTGGCTGGCTGGGGTTCGCACCTTTTCATTCAGGACGAGCGATGCAAAGGCGACGTTAGTGAGAAATTGAACAGCACCCAGGCCTGCTAGAAGAGACTGAGCAGCATACCCTACAAGGTGGGCACAGAGTGGGCAATCACAGTGTGAAACCTTCCACAGGTTGAAAACCACTCCCCACTGACATGAATTCGAAGTAGGATAGTTTGTGTGCCTGCCTTCAATTTACTGCCCACTCACTTAGAATACTAAGGGGGCTCGCGTGGGGCCATGCATCAGGGCAACATCCAAGCCTTTTCAGCATCCACAGCCATCGTCGTCGAACATGGTAGAAAGAGTGTTCACGACTGACCTGGTACCTCATCGTAACAAGTTGGCAGCAGGTGCTGTCTTGAGAGTAGAGAGTGAGCATCAATGAACCGACCCAACATACCAAGTGCCACAATTCTGAGGTGGCTGTTTCTTGGCACACTCTCTCTGAGTGTCAGTCAAGCAACAGATGTTGATACAGGTTCACAGGCAGGGCAGGTCTTCCCTGTGTATTGTTCTGTTTTTATGCACTCAGGAGAAAGTGTTGCGAATAAATTGATTGCTGCATTGCTGTTGGGCAATAAATGTCGATTCCATTCAAGCAGGCAATCAAGGATGATCTGCTGGACACGAAAGTCCAGAGACATTGGTATGGCCAGACATTTGAGAAGCACCTGTCACTCGGTTTGCTCCTTTGCATGTGCTTGTTGCATAAAATGAATGGCAGACTTTATACGCACCAAGAGACACAAAGTTCGCCAGGTTTCCAATGGCGAAGATTGCCACCCCCAATCGCCACTCTGAAAACTTCCTGTCGCCAGAGAACACAGCAACTGCGGTCAGAGCAAACTGTGGAGATTGCTTCTGATGTAGGAAACTGGCTGCACCTTTGACAGTGGGCAGGACCCCCAGTTCACGTCAACCCTGTGATTGAGGTACTCAGCATCGCCTTGTCAACTTCCACAGCAACTCAAGCAATACACCACACTTTCATAAGTTGTGATGATGATGATGAATTCCTTAATTACGTAGCGTTCGCTAAACAAATGAATATATATAAGCGAATGGGCTTCAACAAGGACATTTTGTGACACAGAAACGGTGTGGGTGTTGTTGGGAGACACTCGAAATGTTCTGCTCAGCAAGCACAATTCCCAGCCCTTTCCCACACTGAGCAAGATGATGCAGAAGCCCACAGGCGCAATAGGAATAACAGAGCGAAGGGCAGCCACATGGAGCAGCAAGAGCACCGATCGTGGATCCAACGAACGCAGCCCCTCAACGTGCGCACGAACAGCCGCGCAGGACACAATCCACCCGCAGCATTTTCTGCGAGGCTAATCATATTTCTTCACCGAAGCGTATTGCCCAACGGCCCAGACGACGCCCTTGCGTCTGCAAAGCAACGACCAGCACCACTGAACCCTGCAGTGTTTGTTCCGAAACGCACTCGAACGCCAAGACCGCATCACAGCTTTGTGTGCCGCGCGGTATCGTTCGGCCACACCCGACGTGCCGTCGAGGGCGCAATGCAAAGGATGCGCATCCAACGCCCAAAGAGACGCATTGGCACGCGACCCCCGCCGAAGGCACGATCCGAGAGGCGCCAGAGATGTCCGCCTGGGCTTTCGCCCGTCAATACCTGATGGCCACCGTCTTGCCGGTCCGCGCCTTCAGGGCGGCCTTGCGGTTGTGGCCGAGCTTCATCACATTCTGCGAGGGCGCGGGGGGGCGTGAGTCGAGTTCCGACGGCACAGGAAGGAGGCAAATGGGGATGGGGGTGGGGGGTGGGAAGGGGGGCGGGTTGGGCGTGAAGTCTTTGTGGAGGCACGGGCAGTCGTACCGTGCCCAGATTGATCAACACGCTGCCGACCTGGGGGGAAGCACGGGCCAAACAAAAGTCAGGGGCATCGCCAGAGCCGTCAGAAAAGTCACCCTGCAGCGCCTCACCACCGAGCCGCAATGCTTACAAATCCAGAAGCCAAGCATCTGGAATTGGGAGCAAGTTCGAGTCATTCCAAATCAATCAGGCACCACGCAGATGCGCAAGGGGAGGAGGGCGCATGCGGTACCCCCCATGTGCCCCTTGCCCGCCGCTTGGAATGAGAATCCGCGCAATCGAGGATGCGGCTGGTATGAGGGGGGCCGGCGGCGCGGCGCGCACCAGGTTGATCGCGGCACCCGTGTGCCAATTCGCCATCCCGCACCGCGCCTGAGCGCACTGAACCGAGTATCGCCGGTGGGGGACGGCGGGGCGGCACCGAGGTGCGGATGCCCGCGATCGGAGCGCAGGGGCAGGGCGGGATCCCCAGCAGAGGGTGGGGGCAGGGGCGGAAAGGCCGCAGGGGTGTGAGCGGAGGGCCGTGGCCGGGCGGAGCGTGGGGACGCGAGGAGGAGGGGCTTTTGTGTGGTTGGTGGGCTGTTTTCTTGGTCCGTGACTAAGGGGGGATCTTCGAGACGGGTTCCGGGGCAGGCGGAATTTGGGAAGCTGGGACGCAGCGGGCTGACGACTGCCGCCGCGCGTGCCCGGAGCTACCCAATTAGCTGCTCTGTCTTCCGTGGGGATCCCTTCTAGTTTCGGACACCCTAAACCCTAAAACCACTGACCCACTGACCGGCGTTGGCCTTGTCAGGGGAAGAAGAAGGACCTTCACGGGAAAAGACAGAGGGACTAATATATTCTTGTCCTGTAGGGTGCTTCGGATCAAGACCAGGAGCACGGAGACGCGAGGCGGAGAAGGAGACGGGTGGGATGAGATTCGTGAATCACACGCAAACGAGGCCAAACCCCTCCTTTCTCCCGACATTTAGGGGAGATATACGTGGGAGGCCCCGTGACAGACCAGAGCGCTCACACGTTGGAGCTTCACGTAGTGTCAGCCACTAGCAGAAAAAGGGCAAAATAACGCATTCTGCGAAGACATTTGTATGCATTTCATCAGTGTTCTGCACGCTAAAAACACGAAAATAACACAAACCCGTAAACTTTGTACACGTTTGAACAAGTGTTATTTGGACTTTTTTTCCTAGTGAACATGGCGTGGTCAGTGGTGTTCGTTCGGTGCCTACTCGGGAGACAGATGGGAATTAGGGATTGGTGTGTGTATTTGCAATGTGTCAAGGGTGTGTACAGGGTCTCCGTCTCGTCTCTGTCGCGTTCCCGAACTCATAGTGCATCTACGGAACACTGTGGGTTACTGACGGGCGAGGGATAGAGGCATCGCAGCTGTTTTGTGGCAGTGGGACACACGTGCATTGGTTTTCGATTCTGTGAGAAGGTTTGGGTTAACGGGCATTTGCCCGGAAAATGAAGTCTGGACTTCTTGGCCAATTTTCGTGTCATGATGTGCACAACATTTTGTGCATTAATGCACCCATTGATGCGTAAATAATATTATGCACGGCATTCTCGATTCGAAAGAGCCGGTTCTTCAAAAACTCGCACTTTCAGTTGCCGTTCCGTTTTTGGGCAAGAAGTGGTGCCGTCCCTGTCGCGTTCCCTGGGGGCTCGGATGTCCTTCCTGTGTGCTGATCTGGACAACTATTTTGTAGCTTTCCTGCAAAACCTGCGCCAAATCTTGTCCTGCCGCGTTTATTGCATGCATGAGGGCCCACGCATCCCGTCCTGGGATGCATTTAGCCCCATAAGTGAGAGACTGCGATAGAATCTGTTGATCTACATGCGGCAAAAGATGCTGCTCCAGAGTGGGATAGTTCCCTGGGAGTGCACATTGTGCTGCCTGCAGATACAACAGGAAGCACAAGCAATGCTCATACCGACCCCACTGTTGTTTTCAATAATTGGTGAAAAAATGGCCACATATGTTGTGTCTAAGGAAGTGGTTTTCCTGGACCTCCGACGTTAAAAGATTATGTAATTCACACAATTTCGCCAAGGTGGGAAGCTACGCGAAATGTTGTTGATCCAAAGTAGACAACTTGCGACTTTTTCCAAAAAAACTCCTACGGCGTTCAAACATGAATGGAGACCTCAGAATACTCCAATAGGCAGCCATCGGGGCTGCCCCAATCACTTGCAATGGCCTTTATCATGCCCCTTGCGCCACCGTTGGGCAGAGTAGTGGGCAGATTCCTGGTGATAGTGGATTGATAAAATTGTGTTTGACTTTATGCCAAAGGGCAAAGTTTGCTGCAGCAGAGAAAGCGCAACTGCTTTGCAAGCTTGCAATTTTATCAGCAGCGCTGTACTTTCTCCACACTTCAGTGCTGCCGATGCTAATGAAGTGTTGCTACTATTGATAAATTAATGGTAACTCAGAAAGCGACGACACATCCTTTGGCGCTGTTGTAATCAGCACAAGGCGATTCCACATCATATTTTTGCTCCAAAACTGCCAAGCGCTGCCAAGGAGCGGTTACACAGCACACATGGCCTCACCCCTCCAACTGAATTACTACTACAAGATCTGCTGCAACACAAACTCAGAAAACCAATCGGACCAACAGTTTTTCGAGGGTTGAGAGTACACAACTCGCTGCGCCAATGCACATCTACTGCCCATCCGCTTACTACAGTGGTGGGATGCCCCGCGAGGTGGAGCATGTCCTTTGGCTGTCAGTTGTTAGAACTATTGCTGAGGCAGCACATGGCACATTCGCACTCAGCAATCCACAGCGCTCGCGTTGGGCTGACGGCTTCAAAAGACGGGAGGCATAACTGGCCGACATTGGCACCAATTGCCCATTTCACACATTTAACTCTAGTTTAAATTGTGTAAATTACTGAAAATCTCGCATTGACAGCTACAATCGTGTCAAAGTGGAACCAAACCGTGGTATCGTATTGGCCGTGCCTATCTTGAAGGCTGTTTTCACCGCTTTAATGCCGTGCCGGGTGCGGTCCCAAGTCATTAATCAGCTCCCGGAACGAGCGCACGGTCCCATCCTCCAGCTCAAATAGCACACGATGTCTCGCGTCATCCGCGCCCCGTACATTTGTCAAATGCAATTTTATCTGTGGGCCGTTCTGCCAGCGGCTGATTTAAATCGATTGGCCACACCGGTGATCAGCGCATTTCAGGGGCTCATCTGGACAGTGATCACGCAGGACAGGTCGTACATATGCGTCCGCGATAGGTGCAAGTGGTCGGCGGTGGGAAGACGCCGCCAGGACTCTTCGAACCCAACATGGCTTTGTGACTGCAGACTTGCGAGCTTTGACGTCAGTGCGCCCGGAATACACCCTCGTCTGCAAGGCCACCACGTGGAGTGGGCCACGCCCCCTTCCGGCTCTCTCACGGGGGCAAGGCCCTGTGAAAGGAGGCATCCTTTTGCAAGCCTCCCGGCGGTGCTCCTCCGTTTGCAACGCGCGCCCGGGGACTGTGCAGCTCGCACCCCGCTTTCTCGATCGATCGGGTCGTCGAGATGGGCAAGGGACTGCCCATGGAGAAGGGCTCCGCGACTGTACACATGTGTGGGCAAGCTGCTGGCAGCGTGAGGATTCACGCCCATGGGCGGCGCCGCCGGCTCCTCGGCGACCCTTGGGGCCACGGCGGCGACGTTCCTGCGGATGGAGGGCATCGACTAGGAGGCCAACCCTAGCACGGAGGGCTCGCAGGGAAGGTGAGGCACTAGCCGTTGCGTTGACAGTACTGTGAATTGTACTGCCCTAGTACTGCACTAGGGCCCTGGGCGGGGGCAATTCATTTCGACGCATGTCCGGGGCCGTCAGTGTGTGGCCTGTGGAGCGCAACGTGATGTCGTTGCTAGCTTGGATGTAGAGTGCCCATAATGTGGTGGCACGGCGGCGGAGGGCACCCTGGTTTCTTGCGCAACCGCGGCGGTGACAGTGTTGTATTGAGGGAGGGGGTATGAGGAAGAGAAAGGAGCTGACAGCGTCTGGCGCGCGTCTTGCACCGGCCTTGGCTTGGCGCCTGTCCCATGGCACTTATGGCTCTGGACTAGCGGCCATTTGCCGGCGTTGGACTGTTCATTGATAGGTGGCCGAGCAGTGGCTGGGGCTGCCTGTTCAGGCTGGCGGCCGCCGGGGCCCGTGCGCAAATGACCTAGGGTGTCTTTGTCTCTACCACAGCATGGGCAGGGTATCTTGGATGTGCAAATCGTGGACGGGTGGAAATCCCCTGGAACCAACAGTCAAATCGGTGACGCCAAAGGCCCAGTACAAATTTCAGAAGTGGCGTTGGGCAATGTGGATGGGCTGGAGGCAGGGCGAAGGTTGTCGGCTCATGCGAAAGGGATCGGTATTCAAACCAGTACTGTAGAGCATCGGGCTGGGACATACTGACAAGATTTGCATGCGCATCTGGGGTCTGCGGACAGTTGCCCGTCATTTAGCAGGGCGACATCACCCAGGGCGGTGCCCACCTTCATCTGAGAGCATCTGAAGAACACGTGCCAAGGGCAAGGGGCGCTAAAGATCAAGGAGCCAAAACGATGGAGGCGAAGGCTGTCGCCACAGCATGCCAGCTCTTCTGAGAAGATCAACCGTGCCATGGCCTCACGTACTATGTGTAAGCTATTATGCATGATGCAGTGAGCATTTCAGAAGATCACGGCCTCCATGCACACGTAGATGCCATCCCCTTTTCTGGTGTAGTGCATGGGATGATTGTAAGGAACTTCTCGTTCCAGTTGTCGAAAATTTGCCCTAAAAATACTGAGCAAGACGCAGCACGTTGCTTTTCTCTCGCCTCAAGCTTCGATGCAGTGCCGGGATATCATGACGTGCGGCTTTCAAACAAATACGCAAGTCTCCCAAGGCAATGGAAACGTCAAGATATTATTACAGATGATGCAAAGAGCAACATCAAGCAACCAGCTTGGAAGCTCATGCATGCATATCGCTAACTTGCAGGCAGATTTGCAAGAAATTGGGAAATCGTTGGTCAATGCTCCAGACAAATTCGCCTCGAAGTCTTGCTTAACACACGCAGTTACCTCTGCTTCAATCATTTCGGTCTTCGTGCTGGGAGCAAAGCTCATTTGATATCTGCCAGCATGTACAGTGCTGTTGAATAAACAAGGACATCATTCCTTGCTGTGTCCCATCTCTCCGATATTGGAGATATGAACTTGACTAATCAAGTCTACGTGGAAAGCCTTGTATTTCCAAATCTTACATTTCAGTGCTCAGGTAGCTGGGGCTTGTGTTAGGGCAATTTTCTTCGCATCTATGCCCCTCGGTGGGACCGTCACAAGTTTGTTATGGATGCCCCGTATGAGGCCTAATGACCATTTGGGAGATATATGTGCCCAGCTTGACGAGACGAGCTGTCTTTGAAGATGCTAGATGAAGCATTGTCTTCCTGGGTAACCGCATCTGTTGCAATGGAACCATGGGCAACTCCAGCACGCGCAGTGCAGCCGAACTCCGTCCGTTCATGCATTTCCATAGCACTTCTGTTATGGAAGTCATGTCCGCTATCCAATTGGTCCAAACAAAAGTAAAACTTGTGAATCAGAACATTTGGCTGAAGCAGCTGCGATGGCCCCTATGGAGAGCCATCCATAGAGCCCTCAAACTAGAAAACAACATTGTTGATCTCACGATATATGAAGAGGAGCTGAAACGGCATTTCCCTTGCGCGGCAGGATTTGATTGGGGCCATGGCAAGCTTGGCCTTGCCCTTCCGTAGAGGTGGATCGAGCTGAGCCACTCCTGATAGAGATGTGTGACCTAATATTCTGGTATCACAAAAGATGCGGCTAGATTCCAAACAAAATCCGAAGAGCAAAAAGTTGGTGTTTAGCTGCAGAAGTTTGGCGTTGTCAAGTGCGGTGCGAATGTTGACCAACATTCGCCTCATGAGGCCAAAGGATAAGAGATACCTTGATCTGTGCAAGGGCATCAACCTGGTAGATGTACCAAGGTCTGGAAGTTCCAGCATGATGGTTCTATTTCAAAAGATGGCCTAGGTTGAGGCCAACACGGCCAACCGAGGAAAATCGATAAGTTTTGGAACACAATTCAGCACAGTGGAAAAGATGATTCACAAAGACTGGAAACAATGATGCCAAAACTCTTGAAAGTATGAATTAATGCTCATTTGATGTACACAAGTTGTGTTACACAACAAGGTTATTGAATAATTATAGGGAAGTAAGTTGAGGTACACCAGGATAATGCGAGGGCAGTGCTGCTGGGAATTGAGGCTCCGGCGCAAGTGGAGAGGAACACCTTTTATAATGCTACGAATTTATTGCTGTATGGTAATGACTGTATGGTAATATAACCAAGATCCTAAATTAACTCAAAATCTACAAAGCAATCCGAATTTGGTGACAGATCAATCTGTAAATCTAGTCAATTGCCTAGTTGAGTTGATCTTGCAAAGCTATATCAGGATTGGATAATGGACAAAGACTTTTTTTTTCTAACGGACTCCGTTACACCTCCAAGGTGGCATTAGTGTTTGAACGTTAGCTAAATGTTGAACACGGCATCTGCGAAAATAATAGCAACGGCGATGCTCACTGCTTATCGTTCGCGTCGTAGGCGTCTGCGAATCTGCTTCTGCAAGAACACTCAATGTCACAAGGTCATGTATTGCCGCGCCCGCGTTTTGCAAGTTTAGAGGCGGGGCGACGGTCATTCCCCTCCTCCCCCCGCCCCGTCCACACTGAGCCGTTGCCCATGGTGTCGCTCAGGTGCCGAGTGGCGACGGGTGCCCACAGGGCTGGCGCTTGGACCACGGAGTTGACGTAGAAATGCCAACCCCGAAGGTCCAGCATGCCGGCGTTTCTTGGGCGGCGTCGGGCGAGTTCTGGACCCTTGGCTGCACCTCCATTTTTTTCAAGTACTGTAATGGTACGGGCTAACTGTTGCTAGCAAGTGTTGCCGGCGTTGCTGGTGTTGCAGCTCCATTAAGAATCGATATTTACTGTACATTTAGTGACAACAGGTGGCCAGAGTCGTGCGTTTACTCGGCCGATTTTATGTGTGCAAGGCTGCCAAATTTCGATGCAACAATCACCAGTTCGCATTGCATTAATATTGTCATCGGTGCAATGCGAATAGCACTGCTGCACATTAATGCCAATGTACCCGTGCGGCGAGACTCTGCCTTCACAGGAATTCTTGTCAGTGGTTGTTGCAATGCTGCCCAGCAGAGCTGGAGCGAGCTCGCTGCATCAAGGGATGCTCCATCACCGCTTTGTGGGTTCTAAGATATCCACGCCCTCACAAGAACATGAGTGCTGGAAGAGTGAATGCACGAATGAACCCAGTGATTTGGCTGTGTGATGCGCATATTCATGAAGAATTGCAAATGACACGCTTCCAATCCTTCATGTCCAATTGTGCAGCATCCTTCACGCCTCCTTTGGCCGCATAAGACTGGCAGGAAAGATTGTTCTTTGTGCATTGACGCCGGGATGGGACAAAACGCGAAATGGGCGCCGATAATTCGAAAGTCCTGAAGCCGCATGGCAACTACACGATAGCTTTGGCAGTAGAACGCATCCCTTTCTGGAAAGAGCGTATGGAAGCACAGGATCTTTTGCATTTGCACCATGTTCTTCCCCAAGCACAAATGCAACATCAATGCACGCCAGGGCTGGGATATTGCCAGAACGGTCACCACATCCCGTAGCCACACCCCGTCCACATATCACCGCATCTTCTCCACAAATACCTCCCCCCGGAGTTGCTTCAATCCCTTTTCGTGGCATCGCCCGCTTTGTACGCAGGGCTGAACTGGCTGGGGTTGTCCTCGGGGTAGTACGTCCGCCGAATGTCCGTGACGTATCTCACTAAGTTCGGGAACCGCTTCACGATTCGCGCGGGCTCCAAATCCAAACCATCGTTCAGGTAGTTGTCCAGCATACCGAAGACGCTGGCATCCGCCGCGCATGGCACGTCGCCCGTCATGTACCTTTTATCCCCCAAGAAGCCGGACAGGGCTTCCACGCTCGAAGTGAGCAGGAAAATCACGTCTTTCTCGGAGTGTCTCGACAGTCCCTGCATGATAGAAACAACAAGGGCAGGAAAGCGTTGTTCTTCATCATATTACTTTAGCAATACCTGTTTTCAATGTGGCACATGTCGCTGCGACATCACACAAAAGGATATGCTCCAGTATTGCCTCGGCAGACTTTTGACAATAAAGGAGGGAGCTGCGGGCTGCACCAGCGGCCGATTGTCTGTCAGCCAACGCACAAACCAGAGAGCTGCGAGGTGGGCCATACCTCCACCATCTCTGGCGTTTTTCGACTGCAGGTATTTTATGCGGAAATATAAACCGACATAACAACGACGTACCAAACTGCGCTCACCTGTGCATACAAATTCTTCATAATCTTGCCCCGGATCATCCTAGGGATCAACCACATCATGAACCAGGGCACAATAGACGACATCCTCTCCTTTGTGGCACTGAACCCCTGAGGACGAACGAGCAACGGTTGCATGAAAATGAGAGCCCTTTTTTGGCTGCTCTCAACAATCAAATTTCAGACTGTAATTCCATTCTTTAGTGACTGCCAACAGCAATAGGTGAGGCCACGAACCCACCGTACCTACCCATCCACTTCCGATTCGGAAGCCCCGATTCAGAACCATGGTCCTTGCATCAAATTCTGATAGACACCAGAAAGCGGCCTTCACGAATCTCAACACCTGCTTATTTACCTGCTAAGTATACATGTCGTTGCACCTGTTATCAGACATGTCTTTCAGCCGTGACCGTGCCCCTTGAACTCGTAACTGCATTCTGCATTTATGTACGTTTGGCTGTTGAAGAATAGCTCCAATATACAGTATACATAGGGTAATTTGTATTTCTTCACGGCAGTGTGCACAGCTACTACACGACATTCGTCAATTTAATGCAACCCATAAGGAGGTATGAAACGTGCAGAATTTGCCAGAATTTCTAACAATAATTTTCGCGAAGCTCAAAATTGCCATCATGCAGGAATACCTTGGGGTGACCCCATCGGTAGTACGACATGCCGGAGGCAAGATTATCCTCGCAAATGATTCGGCACGCTGCAGCAACGGCCTTCGTCTCTGCCGTGTCCGGCTCTTTGGTCTGCAATTTCCCCTTGTACGTGTTCTTCAGATACTCGCATATGAAGGTGGAGTCTCCCAGGGTCACGTCACCCTGCTTGATGAAGGGAACCTGTCGGCGGCAGACAGGCATCGTTTGAATACTGTGCCCGAAGCAAGAAGCTACTGTTACACGGATGTTTCCGTTGAGCGCATGAGAATTGCTGGTACACGTCTCTCAACACTTAAGAACTGGTTGGACTGGTAAGTTTGCAACTTTCGCCATTTTTTGATTCAAGTGGACAAGACACAGGCTCCAGAAAGCTGGCAAAGTGTTGTGCCAATACTGCTGCTTGGCAGTTCTTTGATCAAAATATTACCAAGTGCTACATCTTATATTACTTTCCTCGAAGAGTGTCACAGCCCCGTGCCGGTGCATTTACAGAGCGGCATTGTTCGTGCACTCATTGAATACTCTCATGCAAACAACTCGATGGACAACATAGGTTTCCAACACCGCACTGGCGCACTCTCCGAAAATCGTGAATACGTGTTTACACGGTAAGAGCACACGAGCACCACAAACAACGTGTGCACAAACGCACACCTGGAGTTTTTCTGCACAATTTCATAAACCTGGCTTTAGCAGCCGTGAACTTCATGGAACGCACTAGTTTGGATCCTCCTGTGCCTCCTTTTGTGGTCTACGCACTTCCAAATGAGGCGCTGCGCCGTCGCGACGGCGGATGGGTGTGCAATGGTGGGACAAAGGGCGGGTACGATGATCGGGAGGTGGACCCAAAACACGGTGCCATGATTCAAGACACTCAAGCGTAGCACAGCCGTGACTTTGACAAACGTGCCGTTATTGGCAATGTTGCCAGTAACGCAACAATGAAGCAGTTAGCTACTACCGGCAGCAGTTTTCGTCTCCAGCCATCTTGAAACCAGATTTAGAGGCGAGCCGTCTCCGAACTGGAAATGGAAATACTCATGGTTGCTGTCACGGGTTGCATCTGATGTTGCAATTGCATCGCGACATGTGCTGTCACTTGGACACTGACGGCAGCACGTTCAGGCAAGCCACCGAGGATCATGTGCGAAAACGCACTTCACTTCACGAAAACGCACCAATTCGCTCAAATACAAATACATTATACCTCAGCAGTCACAGAGATTTTGCTCAGTGACTTTCCCAGTCAGGACGACGTGATGCGGTGAATCTCACATCGGCCCACGAGCCCCCGATTTGCCCATTGGAATTGTTCAAGGCGGCTTGCCAAAGCAATTAACTGCTCGCAACAAACCAAACAACTTAATGTACTGCACATCATCTATTCTCTAATTGCCAATGGAATGTCCAATTTGCCAAGCAGCCCGCTGTCCCCCTGGTGCCCACCGGCCCCGCTGTCCCTCTGGTGCCCACCAGCCCCGCTGTCCCTCTGGTGCCCTCCGGCCCCGCTGTCCCTGCCAAAGGGCAGACCAGCGGATCGCTGAACCCCGCCGGAAAGAGCCCCCGCACAACGGAGCACCACGCAGTCCGATGGGCAGCCACCGACGCCAACAGGATCCTGGTGATCGCCAAAATGCGACAAAATGCGACGGATTCAAGCGGCCCGTCGGCCAATGCCTGAGAGCACAACACCGCGAGCAACCAACCCTGCTTCTGGCTCGCCACACCGCCACCCTGCGCTGGAGAGGGGCCAAATCGCATAACACGCCGTGCATTCTGCCGACAAGACCGTCTCCTCCCGTCCAAGCACTCAATCTCGCCCAAAACGCGCTCAAGACGCGTGTAAGCGGGGCGAAATCCCATTGCACGCACCACAGACTGCATAGCAGACTGATCATTTCCTCTTCTGTCCCATACAGACTCCCCTTTTTCCCCGCTAGAACGACAGAAGGGAAAGAGAAAAAGCGGGCGCGCGACGCCCCACCTTGCCCTTGGGCGCCCCGCTCATGCCCACGCGCGCCTCGTAGTCGATGCCCGCCATCCGCAGGTACGTCTCCAACTTGGACACGAACGGCGAGGCTGAGCTGGCGGTGCCACCCAACGGCGTGAACCCGTACACCACCAGCGGCTTGCTGGCATCCCCCTCCGTCGCCGAGTCCTTCGCAGGGGGAAGCCCGCTGCCCATCTTACGCGAACGGCAAAATCGTCAGAAGAGAATCCGCGTGTCCGCGAATATGTTCCCAGGGTGCGGCAATGGCGAAGGTCTTCCGCGACAAAAAAGGGAAGAGCGGGGAGGCGCGGGTATTGGGGCGCGCCCACCGCCACTGGTTGCGTATGTCCTCGGCCGCGTACCACTGGCGGGGCGAGGGCCCATGGGAGGCTGGCCGTAGTTTGGGCGCCTTGCGCAGGGCTGAGGTAAACCTCTGGGATGTGGTGTGCCTCACGGAATGGGATTATGCCATTCGCTAAACTCGGCGGAATCTCCTCATCACACAGCGCAGCATATAATACCCTTCTCTTGAAGCAAAAACCGTTGATGCAATTCAAACGGCCCCCTTTGGAGTGCACACGGGAAGCGCAAGTCCACGATCGCCGATGCTTCAACGGCGTTGGCACACGACCAGACGCAAGGCCACGCCACACACAAAACGCCCAGGGCTTATATATATTTTTCCCCCTTCCCACAACGAAGAGCTTTGCCGGCGGTGGCAACGACCCCCGCAACTGAACCGTTCGAATTCTTTTGCACCCACAGAACTTTCCTTGTCACGTGACAAGGACCATCATCCATCATCAACCAGCCATACCGCGCTTTAAAGATGCCCACTCATCGCCACAATACAACCCACTCTATAATACATGTACTAAAGGTGCCCATACACTCAATGGCAATGTAGAAATATTTCAGCTGCGAGCGCGACCTCAACATAACATTCATCTCTGAAATGGATGGCATCTCCCACAACAATCAGATTGATGCTCACAAAAGTCCCATCCCACGAAAAATAATTCTGTGAGATCTAAAACACATTTTTCTTTTTTTCTAAATTCAGAATGCCTTGCATACAAACAATATTCTTGAAGTGCATACAAGTCGCACACCATAATGCATAAATGATCCACCCAGTGAAACGGTGGTCATTACGAGGTGTTGCGAACACTTCCGCATTGCAACACAACGTTTGGGCTTTTTGTGCGGAGCAATAATAGAAATTGCAACGGTGCCAAGAAAATGTGGAGAAGTCCCAGCCGCGACCTGAGGGTGTCTGTAGTGCTCATGGCATCCAGCGGGCGGGACCCATTGTATGCATGAGTCACTGTGGCCGGAAACTGGCATTTGAGGCTGTGCAAACTCTGTGAAGACGCCATTCTGGCTGCGACCATGATGCGGAGCCTCCTGAACCACCAGTCTGTCGGAAAAATGCGGATCAAAAGTGGTAGCGCCAAAATATCAAAATGTGGGACGTTCTGTTAACGGTTGAACGTACTACGGCAGGCCATTGCGATCATCTGTGGCATTGTCCCAATACTACGGCAGGCCATTGCGATCATCTGTGGCATTGTCCCAGGCGCTCTTTGACAAAATCAGTGCATAGGAGCATTGTGATGCGAATAGAATTAAATAGATGGACATCTTTTTGCCTTGAATCGGGAACCCCCCTTCCAATGCAGCTTTTGCAGATTGTTCAAAGATACAGGCCATGAGTACAAAGGTGAGACAGATACGGGTGAGGATATGGGGGTAAGGCGTTTGTGTTTAGGGTATCTGTGCACAGGTCCTCAGTCTCATCTCCATCTCGTCTCAATGCTCATGGTCCGTATTCACAACACCCTCAGGCTTTGTTAGTTTAAAAGTAGAGGTATGGCTTAATGCCGGAAGCTTTCTAATGACAAAATTTTGACCTGCAATTGCCTATCAAGCTGTGCAAATCTGGACAAATCTATGAAGAGCTACAATACCATTCCCAAAGCGAGGCAGCCACCAAAAGAGGACACGACAGAGCAAGCAGCGAAGACCACCTTCCAGGGCGAAACTGGAAAAATACAAGCAGTTGAGGAGCATGGCAGCAAGCAATTCCTATTTGCAGCCAATTCATCATTTGAATGGTCAGCCACATCTAAGAATATGCCATCATGACACTTTTATCCTGGTGCAAACTGATTGCAGCACGCCGGTGCGGCCCCTCGAAGGGTGCCCGGTGGTGCAGTCACATGGTCGTTTACACTTGCCTTGGCCGTCGATGGCTTCGGCATGAAATCCGGTTCACACTTACAGAACGTGCTACATATACATGACAATAGTTTCATGCGTTTTTCATGGAAGCTGGCAGGCCGATCTGTTCATCCGCCAACTCGAAGAACATTCCATGCTTGAGCTATTCTCGCTTGGCAGTTCCCCGAATGAAATCCCGCGAACTTCCCATGTCCATTCCGATCCCCAAATGATATCATTTCCTCCCACCTACCCGACCGCTAACCTCTAGGCCAGCGCTCTGAACCTGTCCGCTCGCCGACGTTCCTAGGGTCCCTACCCGCTACCCTTCTCCCTCATTTCCTCCTCTACCTCTTCTAGCGCAGCTCCCTCCAACTGCCCCATTAACCATACGCCCGACTCCCGCTCACCCGGAACTTTTCTTCGATCATCCCGTAATACCGTTCCTGCGCCCTATCCGAACCGACACCAAGGACGATCTAAGATCTACCTTGGTATCTTATGTGATTGCAAATTCCTTGATGCGCGGCTCAACTGGTAGTTTGGACGCAGTGGTCCTGTCATGGCCTCCACCGCAAGCTGCCAGGAAAGGCTAGGGGTGCGTCACAGCTGTCAGCGACTTTGCCGCAAGCGTCAGGACCTAGGGCAGCTGCTAAAGGCGGGGGCAGCCACCGTATCCGTACGCCCACTGGTTCTTTGTCGCGTCCATGAATAGGGGACATCTGGCTACTGCAGTCAATCGCCATGTCAGCCACGAGGACCGCATCGAAATGAGCAGCAGTATGACTGAAGGTGAGATAAGGGATTGCAGTAGAATTTAAACAATATTGCAATAAAATTGCGTCGAGAGAATGTGCTTGAGCAATACTGTATCAACAATGCTTGGCTTCGCCTTGACTGTAAATTTGCTGCATTGGTTTGAATTGCTACCCCAAGTGCAGAGAATTAGTGGCTGCATAATTGTCAGGGATGAAACAAACGCCTGTTTCGTCGTACGCGCGTGCGTTGCTAGTGCGCTGCATAGCATTGCCACTAACTTGTAGCGAACTTACAGCAATGTGCGCACGAATACAGAATTGACACAATATGAGAGTAGTCATAGGCGTTAAGTTTTATCGAAAGACAAACATCGAGGTATGCGAACAGCACGCGAGCAGCTCAACACCAGCCGGGAGGAACGCATTCGATCTTGCACACACTCTTCGGATCGAAAGCTGAATCAATCAAGTGCACAGACCTTGACGGGCATCCCAATTACTGGCCCCAGAATGGGAGATGGCACTCGCGCTTCACGCCTGCGTGGAAACAACCGATTCCCAAAATAGCTTCATTGCACCACGTAGCATAATTTACATTCATTTTGCAAGCCACTTCAGTCAATTTCATTCATCGTCCTCTCCCATCTGCCCAGAAATTCTCATCGACATGGCGACCGCCGCAGCCGATCTCGCACTCCCTCCTCTGCAACACCTCGGCCTATTTGGCCCCTGTCTTAAACTTCGTGGGGTTGCTTTCCGGGTAGTAGGTCTGTCGAATGTCCGTGACGTATCCCACCAAGTTCGGGAACTGCTTCACGATTCTCGACGTCTCCAAATCCATGTCGTCGTTCAGGTAGTTGTCCAGCGCCCCGAAGACGCTGGCGTCAGCGGGGCACGGCTCGTCGCCCGTTATGTATTTCTTGTCCCCCAAGAAGTTGGACAGGGCGGTCATGCTCGAGGTGAGGAGGAAAATGACGTCTTTCTCGGAGTGCCTCGACAGCCCCTGTGCAGCGAAAGTAAGAGAGGCTTTCCTGATCAGGGTCGTATTGTTTTGGGCTCCTCCACGTCGACAACATTCATAAAAGAATTTCATGTGACTGCGCTTTCTTCCATACCACCATGCCGGCCCCAAAGACATACGAACGCGCCATGTGGGCACTTTCGTGCGCATGCAATCGAAATTGCCCGCCACGAAATAAAGCCGACCCTTCGCCTCTCGTGAGCATTCCAATGCATTGAAATAATAACTGGAGGCGAATTATCGGCCTTCGTGTGGCATATGGCACACATGGCAGCTGTGCAAGGAGGTACACGCGAAACTGCAGGTCCAGTGCTTGGCACAAGCTGCGGGTTGCTGCCGTCATCAGCATTCCTTTGCTGGTTTGTTCAATGGCGTGTGTTTTCACGTGCTCATCAAGGCAAAGGAACGCTGTCCAAAGCAGTTGGGACATCGCTCACCTGCATATGCAGAGCCTTGAGCAGCCCCTTTCGAACCATTCCAGGTACCACTGGCCTCAACAGCATGGGCACCATTCCAGATAGGTACTTCCTTGTAACTGCCCAGCCCTGTGCAAAAGACCATAAAGTGATTACTAAGATTCAGAGCACTTGATTCACCGAAATGGCACATTCCAAATGTATTGCCAGTATCAACACTGCACATCTTCTCTAGGAGCACGCATGTCGCCCTCACCACCGGATCATTATTTCTGTGCTCTGTTGTCAACGCGCCAAGCAAAAGGGAAACTGTTTCGCATGCGCACGATGCAACACAAAAGCATTAGTTGCAGAAGATTGGGAAAGAATAATACATCGATTTCTTTGGTTTGCACATCGCCGAATGCTGTCATCGCTTGCACCAAAAGCCTGGATACAGATATACCATTCGATGATTCGATTTTTGTTGCGTGTGGAACCTATACACTAATGTACGGCACCTTGTCTCCCCAAACCCCAAGCAATTTCAGGGGGAAAAAGTGCAGTTTCGCCTTTCGTTTGTACCAATGTCATTGAGCAATAAACTTTACGAAGCGCACAAAGCGGACTCTCACAGCCTTGGCCTACCTTCGGGGTACCCCATCGGAAGTAGATGAGGCCGTGGTACAGATGATCCTCGCACAGGAGCTGGCACGCCGTGGCAATGGCCTTCCCCTCAGCTGTGTCCGGCTCCTTGGTCTTGAGCGAACCCTTGTACGTGTTCTTCAGATACTCGCAAATGAAGGTGGAATCACCCAGGGTGACGTCGCCCTGCTTGATGAAGGGAACCTTTCCACAAACGGCAGACCCGCACGTCAATCTCGTGTGTAGGACACTCCTACCAGGAGACCCTAAAGTTCTCCATGGTTTTGGCTTGAATGTTTCATCCCTTTTCCGGAGCTGAGAACCATCGCCCAGGGCTCTGACTGTGGGCCCGCCCAGCGCGATGTGATTTACAGAGCATTATCGCCATCAGCGCGTTGACCCGCCTCCAGGATCTTTCCCCGCAACGCGCACGTGCGAATCCACATCCCCGATGCCTTCCCCCGCCGACCCCCGCCCAAGAGGATTGAGGCTCCACGTCCACCAGAAAACGGCCCTTGTGGGCTGCCAGTCTGAACAGAGCGCACTGCCAACTCCCATGGCACCAACCGGTGAACTTCTCGACGCCAGCTGGTTGCCCCTTGCCAAACAGCCCCGGACACCGCGCCCAGGCGTGGACGCCCTGCGTCGGGATCCGCCGTTGTACGGGGCGCGGCCGGTCCGAGACGCACGCCAGGCGCACTGGCGCCTTTCCCTTCCCTAAGCTCGCTCGCACGGCGCTAGCGCCGCGCCTGCTTCTGCTCCCGTGCAAGGAAAACCAGGGCGCCCTCCGCCACGGCACCACGTTATGCGCACTCCGCATCCACGTCACCAACGATATCTGATCGCTCGCCGCAGAGCCGCGCGCAGACGACCCCGCTTTCGCGCTGCAATCGACCCCCCAAGCCCGCGGGAATGCGAGCGCAGCGGCTGGCATCCCACCTTGCCCTTCGGCGAGCCCTCCATGCTGGGGTTGGCTTCGTAGTCGATGCCCGCCATCCGCAGGAAGGTCTCCACCTTGGCCACGAAGGGCGACGACGAGCTGGCGGTGCTGCCCCAGGGCTCGAAGCCGTACACCACCAGCGGCTTGCTGGCGTCGCCCGCGGTCACAGAGTCCTTCACCACGGGCAGGCCCTTCCCCATCTGGACGACCCGATCGACCGAGACAAGCGGCGGAGGAGGCCGAACTGGGCAGCGGGCACGCGCAGGGCAAGCGGAGAACGATGCAGGCCAAGGGAGGGTGGGGAAAGAGAGCAGACGCCGCTGCGCTTTGCCGCGAGTTCGCTTGGTGGCGGCTGGAGCGAGTGGCCAGGTGGCGAGGCCTCTCCCGCGGGTGGCTTTGTAGCCGGTGTGGCTTCGGGCTGCCCTTACGTGAATCCGCGGTCACGATGTCGTGCCAAATTTGCAGCCCCTGCCCGCGCCTTCCCGCCAGCGCCGCGGTGGCATCCGTCAACGGTGCGTGAACGACAAATGGACGCGTCCAGGGTGACAGGCGGAGCGTGGGAGTTTGTTGCGTACGCCACACGATCTGATCCTCCGAATACTCCTGTTGATGGCGGCTGACGGTGGAGCGAGAGCCGAAGAAGGGCGATATCTGCCTCCCGATTTGCAGGCGTCCGTGCGAGGGACGGCTGCCCTGGAATGGCCAGGCGTCCTGCCGTCCTGATCAGTCGTACTGACTCATCGTGACGGTTCACACGGGAGCCGTCGCGCAATTGTTAGGATGACCAGCCTAACAATTTCAAAGTTGACATGCTCTATGCTTCGCAGCTATTTCTGGCGAACGACTGACCTGCAAATCTGACTGGCGTATGCTGCCTGGATTGTCCCATCAGTGGGTGAAACGGATTGCTGAAGACCACAGCCGGATCGGTAGGCACATTGTTTGTGTATCCCAAAGCTGATCTTCCTGAGGTTAAGTATTGAAGTTGTTGTTGGTTATGTGCGCAAAGCACTCAAGCGTCTGCACATGGTTGAAAGTTTGTAATAGGAACGCGCAAGTTCAAGCCATGACATGAAAGGGTCGTGAGCAATTAAGGCTTTGGCATGCCTGTCCTAAAAGTAGTGCCGTATGCTGGCCTCCACGATGAGGCAAAAAAGCTTCATCAACCGTTGGGATAGCAGTGAAAAAGAAGTAGCTATGGCAAATGGGTGTGATTTTTGAAGATTTCAAGTTAAAGTTTGTTGAGAAGGAGTTGAAGTCGAGGTGCGCCCCAATGGAATATATCAAGTGTGCGTTCAACGTGGAACTGTCTTCAAATAGATTTGTGACGATTTTGATGCTGAGGTATTCAATCATCTGAGATTATGTAATGTACTCTTTGGTTGTGAGCCGTTGCTAAGATTACTGATTGAAGATGACAGGCGCTCGATGCCAAGGAAATCTTCGGGACAGATTCTATATGAGGAATAATCGGGAGGGTTCCAATGCGTGTTGATGCGTCAAGCCTCGTGCACGTGTGCACGATGCTTGTACAATGTTTGTATGGGCACCACATTGTACAACGTTAAACGTTGTACAAACTTTGTACAACGTTTGTACGGGCGAAAATAAGAGGAGAGGGTGAATGGGGGGAGCTGCCCATGGACAGGTCTCCCAATTCACAGGGAGACAGTGGATTGCTGTATGTCTGCTCAGATTTTTGACTCTCCGTCGATTGGAATCTGTATTGGTGCAAGCTTGACTCACCTGTCTTTTTACTGGGGTGCTCCGGTGCGGCACCAGAGGTATACAAATTGGCCCGAGGTCTGTGGATTTGACCAGCACAGAAAGCATTCCTTTGAGGTCGCAGTGCGGACGCACCTCAATCCACTGCTAGCTTCGATCTACGGTCTTGCGATATGATAATGGGCTGCCGGTTGGACCTGAGAACTGCAGCGCTGCTGAACACCGTGGCGTTTGCTCAAAGCGACCGTTTTCTTGACCAGCCAGCAGTCGAGGCGTTACATGCGGTGCATGTCAACGCTTTCCTGAATTTCCATTTTGCTCAATCACCATCGATTAACAGCGCTGTTTCGGGTAATGTAGAAAACCTTTCCGCAAATTTGGCAATGCGAAGCCAAGTGCTCTCCCCTAGAAAGTGCAGTGGCAAGGCGGCAATTGCAACCGTTGCAATGCAACGGTTGCAATTTCCGCTGGGTTCAGCACCCATGCTCCCGATATCTTTTGTTAATAGGTCAGTTCTAGTGAAGAGCAAGTTCGGTAGGGACAGGGCTAGAGATGCGCAAGTATCTACTAGGAACGGGTGATTGATGGCGCACATCTTCATGCATATATGACAACACTCTCACCTCAAAGTAGTGTTATAAAAACAGTTCTGGTCACAAATTGCACATGCAGTCTAAAAACGCGAGTCTTTCAAAGCAGTTTCGGCGCAAGGCTGCGAAAAATGCCAATGTTGTTTCAATGCACAGCAGTGCACGTACAGCAGGAATCCACTTTCCCTACCGTCTAAGATCTGTCTGTGCGACTCGCAGTTTTGAGATCGCAGTGTAGGTCGAAGCCTTGGCAAGGGCGCCTGGCTGTCCGATTCTCGACTTTGCGCAAAGGAATCGCAACTCGCATTGCTGTACGGGGACTGGGACTAGGTGGCATGTTTTTATCAATAGCAAGCAGATGAACCCAACGATTACTTGTTAATGGGCGCCATTTCGCTTAGAAGATTGTGCCCCGCTCGCAGCCCCAGCGCGTTCCTTGGCGGCTGGCCCCCAGCGCACAGTCCACGCCGGCGCCATGGGCAAGGCGGGCAAGGGCACAGGCAGCTTCGGAAAGCGGCGCAACAAGACTCATACGCTGTGCCGCCGCTGCGGCCGGCGCGCCTTCCACGTCCAGAAGAAGACCTGCTCGTCCTGCGGCTACCCGGCCAAGCGGATGCGCAAGTACAACTGGAGCGCCAAGGCCATGCGGCGGCGGACGACGGGCACGGGGCGGATGCGCCACCTGAGGCATGTGTACAAGCGTTTCAAGCACCAGTTCAGGGAGGGGGAGATGCACGCGCCCGTGGGGGGCAGGAAGCAGGCCGCCATGGACGTCGACTGAGCCGCGCCAAGGCGAGCTGATCGGTTTTGGCGCGGTCGATCGGGCGATGGCGCTCCCGAGAGGATTCAGGAAGGCCGCGGAGATCCCGGTTTGGGTAGGATTCCGCGCAAAGAGATCGTCTCGAGACATGATCCGAGTTCGTCGTGTTGGGTGCGGGAATTTGGGGAATGGGGTGGGCGTCGAGCGGCCAGACAATGGGAAAGACCGTGAAGTCGTGTTTTCCACCGGCGAAGCTGTAATGAGCTGAGTTTGATTGAGGTTTGGGGACCTACGCCCCGTGGTTGCGGGCCTCGGGCATGATGTGCTGACGGGCTTGTGGCAGTGGGTGTGTGAGCGGGAGATGGAAGTGCAGATCTTGCCGCCCTGTTTGGGCACCGCGACCGAGCGGGAGGGCAGTCTTGCTCTCATGGCCTACGGGATCTCGACTGGAGGGTGCTCGTCAGCGGTGGTGTGCAGTTCCTTCGGGAACTGTTCGTAGATGGCATCCAGGATGGTTCGCATATAATTGCTGTTGCACGAACTCCCTGCCGCCCCCCCATCAGAAAACAGCTTATTGCTCTCCACTGGTCATGCCAGGCCAACTTCTGTTGGTGCTGATCATAGTGGCGGCCGCTGCCTGTGGGTTTGCTCAGAAACAAGATTTGTGTGCAGCCCCAGAAATCCAGTGTCAATCTTAAGAAATGCCCCATTCCCCAACGTTGGTTTCTGCACACAATCAAAAGGGCATGATGGGGCAGTAGTGTCTGCAGTGCGCTTGATCAAAAGAAGTCGATGCAGTGGGGGTTGCAAGTCGAAGTCCCTTGCATGGATTTGATGCAATGCAGTTGCTATTCAGTTGAACACAGCGTAGCATGTGTGTATTGGGCTGTGTCGGCACACGAAGGCATGGCCATCCCTACCACAGCCTTTGCTGTCAGACAGGCAAACGCCCAGGGCGTGGTCGTGTCCACGTGAGCATGTAAAGCCTGATCATAGATGCCTTTCCTACGCAAAGCCTGGCCTACTGCATGTTGAACTGCATGTCCTTGCTGGTTTGGCCAGCCTTTGCCCAGCCACTGCGAACCATGTGGCCTGCTCATGAGCCAAGTGGTGCGACTTGGCCCAAAAGAAACCGCTTTGTTGGCAGGGATGCAGCTGTACTGCCCCTTCCAATCACAGGATGCTATGCTGCCTTGCAGTTGTACGCCCTCAAGATCCGATGTTTGTATTCTCATGTGCTGTCGTCCCCAAAAAGGAAAAAAAAAACGACTTTGCAGCGTCACCATTGGGTGCATTGACAACTCCGTTATCCGACGTCCCTGTTTGCGCATCTGTCGGATCGAGAACACTGAACTGGCCGAATTTGTCAATATCAATGCCGGTCAGCTATTGGCGGAAGAATTGAGAAATGAGAATTCTTCTTTTCTAAAAGAAAAAATCAATGAGTACACTGCAATAAGGTCTGCCCACGTCAACATCGAGATCAGCGAGCGCCTCGTTCAGAAAACAGCTTGTCCAGCGAGCGCCCCCGCCAGAATGACGAATCCACATGCGCTTGCCACTGCCCCCCCCTGGTTTGGGAAGCTTGCATCACAACCAGGAGGCCAGGGCCCACACACCGCGAGTTCATCTTTCAACAATTTTGTAACAGCACGCCAGTTAACAGCACCAAGCCGCGGGGCGCACCATGTCAGCGCCGGCGATCGGCAACAGGTCCATGCACATTCAAAGGGCCTATGCAGCCCCTGCATGCAGCCCGACCCGCGAAGCAGGCCCAGATCCCTCCAGCAAACTACCCAGCAAAGAATCACAAAAGCCTCCCTCGTCTACACACCGCCCCCGGCTACCACTTCCAAAGCACACCCAAAAATTCCACAATGACATCCCCAGTCCAACTCCCCCGCTGACGCGCGGCCTGGACGCGGCCACACACTCGGGGCCATTTGTCCACGCACATCACAGAGCGGCGTCGTACACGAGTCTCACCCATTCTAAAACGCCCAAGGTAAACACAAGCAATCCCAAATGGGCAAAGTTGCACCCTTACGAGCCCTCCATCACTACAGGCGGACCCCCGGCTTAGGCCGGCCCACGTGCACGTCCCACTCCCCCGGCATGACTGCCTCGTCCGACGTCCCAGCGAAGCCCGCCATTAGCTTTCTGTCGTCGCGCTCGCTTCTCGCTCCTCTCCAGTCTTCAGACGAGGGTAACTTACTCATTCTCACCTCCCCGACTGGTCCGTCGCCCTGACTTCTGTGCATCCCGTACAGGACGTACCCCACGGCGCCCACCACCTGAAGCCGGCCCATCAATCAAGCATCAGCAGGTGGCCGACACGCCATTGGTTAGGAGGGATTTCTCTTGCATTTCGAGGCAATGCGAACTGAATGAAAGAATAAAATGATACCAAACAAAACAAAGCAAAGTGAAGCACACTCGACAAGAACGCAAAAACAACACCATAGTTAACTAAAAACGAATTCGGTGATCTTAGGAACCCGTCCATGCAGTGCAATCTTGCGGAAAGAAAGTGGGCCATTGGGGGCATGAAGGCCTGCTGCAGGTAATGAAACAGGGCAATTGGGAACCACAAACGGTTGAAAGTGTGAAGTAGACATGGCGATAGCCAAGCAGCAGCCTAAACTCCACCCCACCTGCAGGGACCCAAACAATAGGTAAGCTCCGCGCCCCAGGCTGAACATCAGGTGCAGCGTGAACAGGACGCCCAGGCTGGGTGTCAGTGGCTTGAGTGGCACGCTGAAGGAGAGTGGCTCGTATGCCACGGACAGGCGGGTGAGCGACAGGGTCCCCACAAGCCACACCACCAGAAAAATCGCATTGGCCACCGGGTGCCACTTCAATTCAAACGCCAGGCCCTGAAAAAACGCGCCGAAGAGGAGCACGCCCACCCGAACAGCCACGGGCCAGAACGTTTCTGCGTCGCCAGACCTGTAGAAATGCAGGCTCGCTTGGTTAGGGTTTCCTCTGACCACATGTGTGCGACCAGACAAAACATGGCGTTTGCACCATGAAGGTTAGTGAGGGCATGTATACGCACCAAAACGCCCTCTCGTTCCTCATGCACCATTCGACTACTGCTTTAATAGAGGATGAAGCATGCCCTGCAAGGCTAAGTTCCTTTGATTCGAATTCCCTCCGTAAAACAAAGCGGTCCCACTGACATCGGCGATGACAGGCGCGCACACATTCAAGAACGTTTCTGCCCCTCATCCATTCATTCTGTCTGCTTGCCAACCATCTGCAATGCATACAGATGGCGGTCAAGAAAAGGAAATTGCCAAAGAGAAGAATACGTATTTCAAAAACGCAAATGTTGAGCCCCAAGGTGGTTCTAGGAGTAAATCCATTTGTTGTGTCACCTGTGGTAGCGGCGGACGATGACAGCAAGGGAAACGAGACCAAGGGCGAAGAGGGTGCCCATAGACACCAGGCTCGAAAGGATCTCAATGTCGAGGAAGAGGGCCAGGCTGCCTGCGGTGCACATGGTGACCATTGTGGCACGCAAGGGCGTGGAGCGCTGGGGATCGATCCTTGCCTGTGGGTAGCGGACAGGCATCCACTAAGTGATGAGAGAAAGGTGCCAAGCACCGAAACCACGTCGATGGGCAGTAAATTTGGGCACCCTGAACTCCAACCCAGCACAACCTTGCAAGTTGATTGATCTGCAGCTTCAGACAAACTTTCTGCACCAGGAAATGTTGTAGGAACATAAACACAAACAACTGTAGTGCGCTTAGGCAATGGTGTCCTTACACTATTGCACATCTCTGCTCGTCTTTTCAAATGCAAACTTGCGAATTGAAGACCACACTCGGTGACTCTGACCAGCGTGGTTGTGTCAGACAACTATGAAAAAAAAAGAAGAAACTAGCCCAATACCAAACATGGGATCAATCGTAACATAATATCAGAGTGGCACACTCTCAAGCCAGCAATGTCTGGAACTTGGAGGAAACTAAGCGACAGGTGGGACACTTACGATCCAAGATGGAATCAGTTCTTCTCGTCCAAGCACCATGTATATCCGCGCTTGGCCCATGAGGTTCACAAGTAGGGACGTGACGATCCCTGCCACTGCACCAACGGACACAATTCTACCTACCCAACCAATACCAATGTCCCTGAACGCCTCAGAGAAGGGTGCATTGATATCAATCTTGCTGTATCTGTGCATCACACATAGATGATAAAGAGGGGCCTCACCCATCGACAGGACATCCATCTTGCATTGAAACACATTCGTTGAATTAGACAGGGCTTTCTGCCCAGAACGCTCCAAATCCAAGCAACTATGATTACTAACGAAACCGCTGCAGCATGGCATGATTCCACACGCAGCTCGATTTTGATTGAGACTGGCAATGCCGTGACACTGGCAAGACTATTGCACACAATCTGTTCCAAGACATCTGCAACTGGCACCGGTCCATTATTGCCAGACAAAGATCGAAGTCCACTGTGCATGTGTGCGCCTTGTCGGGAGTTTTGGCCACATCTGGAATTATGCTGGCATACGATCCTGCTTGCAAACATAACTACATCAATGACAATCGATATCCAGATGTAACTGCCCCTTCCAGCCAACAACCAAACTCACTTCTCAAGGCCTGTGATGGCCAGGCACATCAGGCTGTACAGCACTGAGCACACGCCCAGAGACCCAACGATCCCGATCGGCAGGTCCAGCTTGGGATTCTTCACCTCCTCTGCTGTCGTCGCCACTGTGTCAAACCCGATGTATGAGAAAAACACAACGGCTGCCGCATTGAACAGCCCTGTCAACCCCTTTGGCGCAAAGGGCTCGTAATTGCTGCTGTCCACGTGGGGAAATGCAGCAAGCAACACAATTAGGATGGTGGCCAGGTTTATGGCTGTCACCACGATGTTAAACTTGGACGACTCCTTGGTGCTGAAGGCCAGCATGAGGCACAGGAAGATGACAAGGAGTGCTGCCAAGAAATCCAGACGGATCAGTCTGGAACCACCCTCCGAGCCACAGTCGTCACCCTCCGAAAGTTTGGGCCACACAAGAGCATCACTAGCAAGGCCGATGAAGCTGGAAATGTAGCCACTGAAGCCCTTGGCCACGGCCGCTGCCCCGAGGGTGTACTCCAGCACCAGGCTGATAGCAACCTGCCTGTCCAAATGCAGTGGTTCTTTCCATGGAAACCACAACTAATATTGTACTTGGAAACAAGAGATACAGCATACAGAGCAGGTATGTCGGAGCACACATATGGTTTGTAATTGGGATTGCTCGTGTCACCACCATGGCAGCAGAAGTTCTGCGGTTTTCTTGCCAATGGAAAGATGGCCATCATTTTGTCAGGATGTACATGCAACGTGAAACCAAACAGAAGGCAATGGATTGAATTGCAAGGGTGTGTACAAGCGGGTGGGGCAAAAGACTCTCGCCATGGTGCTATCTGTTGGGGAGACCGTTCAGGCATGGTGTGGGCAGCCACTCACCACGCAAGAAACTCTCCAAACACCATGGACACATAGACATATGCTCCACCTGCCACAGGGACCTCGACGGCAAACTCTGCATAGCTCAGGGCAGCCAGCATGGCTGCGATCGACGAAAGCAGGTATGACAGCACCACCGAGGGCCTGCAATGGCAGCACAGAACAGCCCGTCACGAACACAAGAAAAGGCATCGCTGTGTTTTGGACAATCTGAAGTGTCTATCTCACTGGGCTACCCTCCCTGTGCACCTTGCCTGTGGCGGTCTGCACTTTGCTTGTGAATATCTACAAGGCACTGAGTCAAGCACAACAGCACTCAGTGCCCATCATGCACTGCCCAACAAACAATGGTGTGAAGCAAGGGGGACCTTGGCCAGGGAGAGCTGAAGATGAGGCTGGCACAATGGTCTGTGTCCACCCTCTGAGGGGAATCGGGAAGGGCCAAATTGTCCAGAAGATGCCAATGCGATAGGTCACAGTTTTCATAGAAGGTGCCGAAGCAAAGCAATGAACACACCCATCCGCAATGGGCCTTGTTGAGGCCACGGGTTACAGAACTTTTGATTATGCTGTGGATAGTGGTGAAGCTTGTTTCACAGAAAGAAGCAGTTTCGACACAGTAGACAACTCCTCCTTGGCAAGGAATTCATGGTAGACTCTTCTCCCCCCTGCCGAAGGGGCAGAAGTCTTTTAGTGCGACAAGAGTAGCCCACAGCACAGAACATGGATGGTGGCGGTCAGTGGCCAGGGAATTTTTCAAGCCATCGAGCGCAGGAAAGCCAAGCCGATCATAGCGGGTGCGAATGGATATACGTCATTCGCAACCGGGGCCTTGATCGACGTGGTGCGCGATTCTGGAGTCAGTTCCAATTTAGTCGTGCTCCCTGATCATCAAGGCGCCTTCCCCTTCCCCCCCAAGATTGATTCCATGGCCCCTCCTGTACAGCACAACCGGAATGCTGCGTTCTCACCCTCCAGTCGACCCCCCTCCCACCCTCCCCTCAAGTCGTCACGCAGCTTGCCCAAGGGCCTACACGCGCTGGGGAGGCGCCACATTCCGCGACAATACACGATCAGGCCTAATGCCCATTCCTCCCTTGCCGTCTGCCCTAGGCTTCCCATTCCCCTCTTGCCATCTGCACCCAGGGGCGCAGCTCCCCAGTCATAGATCAAACGACACCTGGCCGAGAAAACAGGCGCAGCAGCTAGCCCGGAGTCGTCCAGGGCCCCCAGCGACGAGGCAACGCCTCAGGCGTCGCCGGGGCTTCCAAACCGATCAAGAAATTCCGCGCAAACGTAACCCGCAGACCCACCCGGCTTTGCAGCGCGCTGCCACGCCCGTCAGGACGAACACGCCGGCGCCGATGATCGCCCCCACGCCCAGCATCATCAAATCGAAGGCTCCCAGCACCTTCTTCATGTCCCCGCCGTCCTCGCGCCTCGCACCTTCCATCGTCTGCCCAGGCGTCCTGGTCGTGAACGCCTTGGACCTGAAAGTCCGCCAGGCAACGCCCAGGACGCCCATTGTCGTCGTCGCCGGCGGCGTCACCCACGCAGGTTGTAGTTGCAGGTGACGGGTTGACGGCAGCCGGCGACGCGCAGGGAGCCTTGGCCCCCTTGGGGCGCGAAGTGTCCTCCCCTCAGGTGGGCATTTGGGCGCGTCCCCAAAGTGAACGTAACCAACACGGGGCTGTTGGAACGAACCATTGTTTTGTGCCAGTGCTTCCGTCCTTGGGGGAACCAATTTTGCTTTGTTTTTAGATGTTGTGGATAATGGAAAGCACGGCACAGACAAGCAACAACTCCGTCACACTGTTCGCTCCCGGGAAGACTTGCGGCAAATACAATGTTCCCGTCCCAACGGAGCGCTCCAGCAGTACTGCAGCAATATACTTCGTCCCAGCGAACAACTCCTCGTTAAGCACACAGAGTCGCTTCTTCCCACCACCTCGCACCTCCCCTGCCTCCCCAGCGAAAAAAAAAACAGCCCTGAATACAACCCCACCCGAGGAGCACACTCCAAACCTTTTTGTTTCGCTCCACAGCCCATTTCCTCTCAACTGCCACTGTCCCACCGTGTCCTAAGCCCCACTCGAGACCGCCGGCAGCAGCCTCCAACGAACCCCAGCGCCCCTCAGCCATCCCCTCGCCCTCCCTTCCCGGGCCGCCCGCTCCCCAGCCATGGAAGGCGCGCCCCAGGACGCGAACGGCGGACCCGCGCAGGCCCCGGAGACGCCCGCGGATCCCCCAGCCGCGCCAGAGACGGCGCCCGAAATGCCCAAGCCGGATGGCGACAATCCCGAAGCCAAGCCGACCCCGAACGGGGATTCATCTGCCCCTGTTGCCGCGCCGACGCCCATGTACTCGGAGGTCCAGCAGGCCGCGCAGGCGGCGGCGGGAGGCGGCGACGGGAGCGCATCGCAGGCGCCCGCACCTCCAGGTGACCTGGGCGGCCGTGGCGACCTCGCGCTGTGGCGACCTCGGGGTGTTGTGCTTTGTTGCCTGGCGTTCACGCCACGCCTGTGGGCGTGGTGGGTCTGCGTCCGATTCAGTGGCAAGGAAAGGGCAGTCGCAAAATTCGCGTCCAAGATGGGGTGTGCATCGTGTGTGGCTGGCTTTTCTTTCCGTTGAGGACGCGAGCTCTCGCGACGAGGTGGGGCGGGTCGGTGAAGGCCGGCGGGAGGCGCGCTTGGGCCGGGCCGATGGCTGGGCTCCCGGGTGCGGAACAGCGCGTCTGTTGTGGGAGAGGGGAGCTGATCTTTGACGTGTGTCTGCGGCAGTGGCGAACAGCCCATACATGGAAAGATACAACGAGTACTGGCAGACCGTCAAGGAGAATCCGGACGATTTCCAGTCGTGGACGTACCTTATATCCACGGCAGAACAGATGGTAAGCATTCTAGGTGTGCCTCTAATGGGTCTGCAGGGGTGCATTGTGATTCTTTTTGGGTATCTGTTCCCTTTGTGCATATGCATCTTGCTGCTTAGAGGTCCCCTTGAAATGTCTGAGTCGATGGCCCTTGCTGACGTCTTCAGGATGACATCAACTGCTTGAGGGAGGTATTCGATGCCTTTCTTGTGGAGTACCCTCTTTGCTATGGGTACTGGAAAAAATATGCTGATGCTGAACACCGGCATGGCAACGACGAGAGGGCTGTTGAGGTGTACCAGCGGGGCGTGCAGTCCATCCCTTACTCTGTGGACCTCTGGGGCCATTTCTGCAGTTTTGTGCAGAACCTTCCTGAGACGCCTGAAGAGAAAACAAGGAGGTGCGCTCCATGACAGCCCCGCAGTTTCCTCCTCTGCAAGCCCTCCTCTCCATCCCTCTAGCTTGGCCTCTTGTGGGACTCCCTGCTTGCTCTCCTTGGGGGCTGTCTGCTTCCATCGATGCTCATGTTACCATGGAGGCCTTTGTAAAGTTGACGCCAAGCTAAACACCCATGTGCACGGAGCCGAAAGAGTTATGTCGTGGAGTTTTGTGGCTGTGGAACAGGACAGGCTGTGGCTGTGGTGCTGCCTTTGCCGGCCCCGACCGGGAGGTTTTTGACGTGTGTGTGTGGGACTGAGAAAGACTGTCCTGGCCCGTGGGTGGAGTAGTGGATTGTTGTGCACGCACAGAGCGCACCCTCCGGAAATCGGTACCCAATTCCAAGACATGGTATGTATGTACCTTTCTGCTGTGCGCCCACTGTACTGCCACGCTTCTGATGCTCAACATTCAGCTGAAGAATCGCCTGGGAGTGCTGCGCTCCGAGAAGGCTGAGGGCTCGTTGTGCTGTTGCAAGCGCTGAACAGGTTCTGTGGCATTTGGTGCAGTCTGTTCGAACAGGGTGTGGCGTACGTGGCTACCGACTACCTTGGTCATGGCCTGTGGGACAAGTACCTGCAGTTTGAGATTCGCAATTCCAATCACTCCGGGGTTGCCCACATCTACAGTCGAATACTGGCATGCCCTCTCCGAGACCTCAGTAGATACTACCAAAGGTAGGGAGGAAGGGCATATTGTGCAACTTTTGCAACTGTGCTTGATCTGTGGCAACCCCTTGCGCATCATGAAGTATGTGTGGCCTCCGGACAGATCACTGTGGATGGAGCAGTGCTTGACAATGGCTGGGTGCCCCTTCAGTGCTGACCTTGTCAGCAATGACCATGACAATTTGAACTTTCACCATGATTCACAACTGTTGTATGCTTCGGGTGTGGTGCTTGTGCTGCAGTTCACACGGGTGAACGGATTTCCTTACTTTTGGCGCTGTGTTTGTGCATTCTCTCACAGTCTGCAGGAGTTTGCAAGCCAGCACCTGTTGTCAGAGATGCTTGGACAAGAGGAAAGGGACTCGGTGCGTGCTGAGGTGGAAAAGAAGAAAAAGGAGAATCTTGTTGAGGCAGCCCCCCAGGACCCTACTGCTTCAGATGTTCCTCCTCCGACAGCCGGAGAACCCAAGGATGAGAGCATGACTCAGGGGGCGGACGTGAAAGAGGACGAGAAAGATGCCAAGGCCGACGGGGATGCAGCACCTGAGGCAGCATCCTTGGCAAAGAAAGACAAGGATGGTTCTGTTCCTGAACCTGAAGACATGAGCCATGATGGAGCAGTTGCAGAGGAGCCTGGGCATGGCACAGACCCCATGAATGTAGAGGAGCCAGAGAGCCGCAAGGAGGGCACTGGTGTCCCCGAGGCGGGGGACATGGACGTCGAGATGGAACCTGCACCACCAGGTGCAGATGCTGCCACCAAAGTGGAAGTCACAGACGATGATGTTCTGGCTGCATGGCTGGAGTCGCTGGAGCAGGTGTATGAGGGGTCCAAGAGGGAGCTGGCTCGTAGAAAGCCCTTTGAAGACTGTATCAAGCGGCCCTATTTCCACGTGAAGCCACTGGACAGCACCCAGCTGACGAACTGGAACAAATACCTTGACTACATTGAGAAGAATGGGGACCATGTGGCTGCTGTCACACTATATGAGAGGTGCTTGATTGCCTGCGCGTGCTATCCAGGCAAGTTGTCAGACGATGCCCAGGGTTGTGGGAAGGCTGTGAGAGCATTATTCTTGTCGAGTGCGTGCAAATGCACGACTGCTATTCATGAATATTGAGCTGAGTGGTATAACAGAATGTTCTATGCCGTTTCTGCAGTTGTATCCTGAGCAGTGCCTGGTGACAAAGAAGATCTGCATCATATACTGGGTGTGCAGGAAGTCCTGAATGGCACTTGCAACAGGGTGTTCATGAAACAGTCGAAGAATGAGGATAACAATGCGCAGTGCTGACCATGGCCTTTCATCATGCATTAGAAGTGGCAAAATTGTGGCATCAAGAAACAATGAAGGCATAGGAAAAGAACGTAGTCCTGTTGGACTGTGAATCCTGTCTATACCGTCCAACTGTGACGTGGCCAACCTGCCCAATGCCAGTGAATGCAAGAACGGTGCTTGCAGAGAGGTTTCTCACCAAGAGCATCTGAGGTTGTCATGTGTGCCCATCAACAGAGTTCTGGAAACGCTATGTCCGCTACTTGGAGGCCAACGACCTTAAGCTCGCCCGGGGGGCGCTGCAGCGTGCCACATTGGTGTACTGCAAGAGGAAGGCAGACATGCACCTGTTCTCCGCTCACTTCGAAGAGAGGCATGGCAACATCGACGAGGCAAGGAAAGTGTTTAAGCATGTGCAAACGCTGATTGCCCCCAGGCTGCTGTCCATGATCGTCCAGTTCGCAAACTTCGAGCGTCGCCAGGGCAACACAGACACTGCCTGCACCATCCTGACTGAGAACATCGAAGAGGAGAAATCCAAGGAAGGGTCCAAGATCTACAACTTCCTGTGTCTGCACAGTGCCCACTTTTTAAACATGGTGGTGAAGGACAAGTTGAGGGCCAGGGCTGTGTTGGATGCTGCACTTGCTCACCGGCCAGGTGCGAAGGCCCTGTGGCAGGGCGCCATCCAACTGGAGGAGGGCATCTGTGACGATGACTCGGTGTCACGCACGCTGGACCTGTACGACCGCTGCACCAGTCCGCCTGAGGATGGTGCAGAGGCGCTCAGTGAGAAGGACCGTGAGGAGCTGAGCCTGCAGTGTGTTGAGTTTGCTGATCTGCGGTGTGATGCCAATGTCAGGGCTGCTATTGAGCGACGGCACACGGAGAGGTTCCCCTTCCCTGTGGCAAGCGGGGACACAAAGAAAAGGTCGGCCAGTGAGCAGGGTTCTGTGCCAGCGAGCAAGGTGCACAGGACAGGGATGGAGGGTAGTGCTTATGGGGCAGGGCAGCTGGCGATGACGAGTGCGGTGACCCCTGGGACTGTTGGGGCCATGGTGCCGTCACCCGCAGCAGCCCAGCCACACATGTACTACGGTCAGCAGATGGCCACGGGCCAGATGACCACCAACCAGCAGTACAATCAGTATGCTCAGTACTATAGTCAGTACCAAGGATACAACTACACAGGGTATGGGTATTAGGCTGATTGCAGATTGGTAGCACTGGCAGTGGTTTGGGCTCGAATTATTGGGGGGGACAGTGACAATCATGTACGTGCCTGCCTTGGCTGACTCATGGGAAGTGCACGTTGAGGCCTTTGGGCAAATGCAGGGCTGCAGATGTGGTGCTGCGGGCAAAGCAGTCCAGTACAGTGTGTCGCGAGGTGCATTTGCAGGCAGAGTCGCTGCCATGTCCATGCATTTTGGCCCCCCCCCCCCTGTTCAACTGAGTGAATGGCAGGCAATGCAAGAGGTCGAGTATCCTTGCGACAAGCCGCTTTGGGAATCGGCTGTCCACAAGCTTGATGGTGTATGTGTGGTGTCATGCTAACAACAGCCAGGCAAGGCATTTGTAACTGTATCGGTTGTTGCGAATTGTGTCGAGTCGATTGACAGAGGGACCGTCACACGGGCCCAGCCCCCGTAGCCTCCTTGTGCCTTCATCCCATGCTTTGGCAGGCCTGGGCTTGTGGACAATCACGGGTTTGAGATGTTGGCAAGCCGGGCGCTGAGGGGCTGAACTCTAGAGGAGGAGCTGGGTGGAACCATCCTCATTTGCACGTCCAAAGTGATGGCGGCATGGCCGCATCTGGAAAGCCCAGTGAGTGCTGTGGATATAGGTATCTGTCAGCGCGGAAGGTTAGGGTGCATGGTCACCTCTCGGCTGTGGAAAACTTGCAGGAGCACATGCATCAGGGATGTGGGAGGTGTCCCATAGGGCCAAGCGCCGGCCATTATGCGCAAAGGCAACGAGCCCTGATCCCTTGGCAGTTTACCCAGTTGAAGCAAGTGCTGCACGAGGGCATACTGCATCCCGTGACGTGCATCTTTTGGGATCTCATCTTCCGGAATTGGCAGAAGTCATGCTTTCGCTTGCATTCAAGATCACATTCAACGGCCCACTCAGGGACCGGGCCCTGCACAGTTTTAATTTCAGGACTCTGGTCATGGCATGACAGCTGTCGTACTCACACTCATCATGTTCCCGCCTGACTGGCCCCACCCCTTCAACACAGAGGATCGGCGAACGACCGGCCAGTTGCAGGCTGCCACATAAACAATGCACTAGAGCATTTATGAGCTGTTTCACGTATTCAACGGCGTGGCTGTCCGTGATTGAGAAACATCGCAGATAGTCACGAGGAACTGCTTAGTGGCGTGTTCTTTGAAAGCTGCTTGCGACCACTGGAAGGTCTCACGGAAATGCTATGGTGCATACCCCTGGAAGGTGCTTGGAACACCTAGGAGAGTAACTCAGAATCACTGCTTGAGCTTACAACCATTTGAAATACAGCTCAACGTGCACAGCGAGATCCTTCAGTGGTTCCTTGAAGATGCAAGTGAGCCTTCTTCCTCTCTTAGGGGAGACACTATGTCCAAATTGGTTCGCTCAGGGAAGACGCTATGTTGATTTTGGTATGCTTAGCGTCAATTTGATGTTAAGCTTCCCCCTCCCCCCCTTCTTAGCGTCAATCCTTGTGTGGTAGCCCAGATGACTCAGCAACGTTATCTAACAGTGGCGTTCAACTTCCAGGTGTTTCTAAGGAGAAAGCAATGAAAGTTGTGCTGATTTCAGTGGGCTGCAAAATGGGATTCCAAATGCCATTATAGGTGAGGCGGGCAGCCTCAATGGCAAATTGATCCATTCTAAGGCCTTCTTCGAAGATCGAACACTTGCAACAGGCTTAGGAACGTGCGAGGGGTTGTTTGCCGTTTATCAGTGGCGTTTTTGGGCACCTTCGTCCCTTATGTCGATTTTGTGTCAATTACATTTCCGCCTGGACGGGCTCCTTGTCCCACCCAGGTCCGCCCACTCACTGTACCAATACATTACAGGACATAGACCGTTTGTCCCAAGCAACCTGAGGTACCCACAACTCGTGTGCCCAGTCGCTAATAGTTATGCCAGTACCCTACATGACTCAACCTTGAATCAGTCCCACTCTCCGTCCTACCATCGCCTTTAACTCCTACACCATCTCCCAAGTAACCGAAATTTACCCTAATAGGGTGGGGCCAGGGGGCAAGCGAAACAAGATAGAGTGGGGATTGAAGGGCGAGCCCACATAGCCTCCCCCGCTCGTGCCCGCCAAAGCCCGTCATCTCCAAGGGCGCCAAAAACCACTGGCCCTCCTTGAACGCGTCGAACTGGCCACTGACCCAAGGTACATGGGGAAGGAAACCCAAGAGCCGCCAAAACAGACCATACACAGACCGCACCGGCCCGTACTGGAGCCAACGCGCCCACCCCACGTCGCCCTTAGTGGAAACCTATTAACAAGATTGTTAATCCCATAATCTCTTAACATCACAGGTCTGTACCCCCCCCCCCCCACACCCCCCCAACCCCCAACCCAACCCCCCAACCCAACCCCTAAAGTCAATTTGAGTCTACCAAAATCGATATAGTGTCTTCCTTTACATCAATTTGACCGGGGGGGTGGGGAAGAGGGCACAGACCTGTGATGTTAGGAGATTATATAATTACAATAAAATTGACATAGGCTTGGAAGATATCCAAAACGCTGTTGAAAAGTGGCCAGAACTTATGATTTGTCCCCACACTCGCCTTTGATGCTTTATTCTTCACAAAAAGCCCAATTAATTCTCAGCTGGTGGCATTCAAGACTGCCCAAAAAAATCTGCCATGGCTTTTGTATCTCAGTTTTTAGACCACTAACATCACTGCAATTTTGACTGTTGTTCTCTCTTCAAAACGCAATCAATTTGTCCCACATCATTTTGTGATATTATGCAGTCATCCTGGCTTCGACATAAGGATTGACGCTGGGGTAGAGGGGTGGGTCTGAGCTTAACATCAAATTGATGCTAAGCATGGCAAAATCGACAAAGCGTCTTCCCTTAAAGAGGACTTGAGAGTGTCGAGGATTGGCTCTTTTTGTTTGGGTTTGCCCCGTCTTGGTGCGATAGTAATCTTAAGAGAGTGATTCACTATATATATCATAATCTAACAAAATCACGAAACTAGATATGCTTGTTGTATTCAATAGACCTGTGTCGGTTACATTCCTTTCATTTGTGAGCGAAATTGCTGACCTGAAGCCTTTGCAACATGAAAAGGATCTTTCAAAGATTCCTTGCATTGCTTGACAAGGAGCTCACAAAACATGTTACATTCCTCACAGCCTAGCTACATTCACATAGAAAGGAAAGTTTCCTTGCATATTTAACATGTGTCAATATAATTTTTGTGTGTCTGAACTACAACAATTTGCACCTTGCATTTAAAGAATATGCATGACTATTATCATCCTTTCTGGATATGTTTGAATCTTGTATCTTTATTCCAAAACTACTTTACTCAAAAATAGATTGTAAGTTTGTTTTGGGTGTGTAATTGAGTGACTTTCACACCAAGTTTTCTTTTCCGACTTAAGCTCGCAACCCTATTTCCCACATTGTGGGATAGTTGTCAACTATTTTCTTCTCTCAGTTTGACTCTTTGTTGTCACCCCACTAGCTAGCTTCTATCATAACTTCTTTTAGATCCCGTATATGGGAGCTATATAGCTTAATCCAAATCTCCACCTTTCCAATAATCCCTTTGCCCATGCTATTGCCCTCTACACTGGGTGTGGCTACCATGCAATTCAGAACCATTGGTTTTGAGCTACCTTTGCAAGGTTGTCGACGAGCCATCCATAACACACTATAATTTGTGCAGTCGGCCCCATGATTCATATCCCAATCAATGTGATGTGGCCACCACTAGTGGTTGGTGTTGGCCCGCCACCACCAAACTCTCACTTGCCAATGTTTTGTGCTATTAGACATCCTAGAGTTTTCAAAATTTCTCACACGATTCCCTTTGTGGGCCTGCAATATCCTCCAGGAATGTGTTGTGTTTGTTCACCAATAATGTTAAACCAACACTCATATTGCGGTCCCCAATAGTGAGGTTTCTCACAAGGAGATGTGGGCCATGGGAGGTGACGCTAAGATAGGGACCGCAACTTAGCCCGGCCTTTACCCGGTCCCGGTCCGGGTCTAGTCTTAGCCAAATCTGGCCCTAGTCCCGGTCTTGCCAAATCCAACTGGTCTAACCCGGTTTTTGTCCGGTCCTAGTTTTTTCCCTGGACTGGCTTTGGACCAGGCTAGCACTGAATGTAGATCAGGGTTAGGCCAAGTGTGCATTGGGGTTGGGGCTGGGTGTGGACTGGGTTCAGGGCTCGATTAAGGCTGGATTTTGGTCCTACATATTTCAATCTGGTCCAATCCAGTCCAATCCGGTCCAATCTAGCTCAGTCCAATCCCAACCTGAATTGCACGACTTTGAACAAAGTGCCTTTGTTATGCATGTGGTAGATGGTCTGGTCTTGCGACTGCTTGAATGCAATTTTCATATAACTGTAGTCAGCCGCCCACAACATTAAGTTGGCTATTGCATACACAATAAATGTAACTCAATCCATGTTAAAACTTCGCAATCACAAGACCCCAAGAGGCCCATATTATATACAAGGAGCATCACAAGATTTGTCTTTAATATTTTATAACTTGCATGCTAAATAACACAATGAACTATTCATGAAAACCAATCTCCCATAAAAGCATACAACCAAAACCCAAAAAACTATAGGTCAAGTTTGCCTGAAAGGATTGTGCACTCCTCGATTCTCTCATCAGAGAAGCCGGCCCTATGCTGCTAGATTGTATGCTCTCTAACATTGAGAAACCCTCTACAATGCTCCACTACCTGTTGCGCGATTGTGGCCACCATTGGCCAGCGCCTGGCATTCCGAGGCCAATATGCCAAGGTGACTTTTTCATACGCCATACTAGGGGAGCACAAAGCCCATTGCTTTTGGATCTACTCGGAGATATGTTGATTGGTAATCTACTCTATGGCCATAAATAGTTGGCTGCCCGACACCACTTCAGAAGGTGTGGCAAGGGTTGGGCCTAGCTCGTCACCACCCTCATCCCCAATAGACGCTTTTGAGCTTATAGCACACGTGCAA